TGGAAGTGAAGCGGAGGGGTCATTTAGAGGCTTTCACAAGAGAGGGGGATGGTTTTTGAAGGACTTGTGATTGACCTCTTGCTCAACCTTGGTAAGAAGTTTTCTCTGACCTAATAAACAGCGCCAAATCGAGGTAGAATTTACGTGACGGGAATAAAAGCCCTCTCTTTTTTACTGCAAATGTGTACTGCAGATCAAAGGCCCTATAGTAAAGTGCTCACTGGTAATACCGGAGATGCAAGGGTTTGAACATTCAAGGTACCTAGGGGTCTGACAGATGAAGAAAGTGTTTCCGACTGCACAAAAAGATATTCGCGCAACATTTCCAGAGGTCATATTATGCCCGCAAGCTCGGTTCCAAAAAGTCGTACCCTCTTGCTTTTTAAGGAACTTGCATATTTTTATAATTATTTGAAAAGAAAAAATTAGCTTCCTACGAAACTTGGATACAGATTTTTTAGTGTTCGCCAAAAAAATCTGAGCCTCAAAATTCATAAGCACGAATGAATGAGCAAAACTGTACCACTGAAGATTTCTATGAAGAGCTACTAATTTTGGAAAAGAAAAACTTCCACAATAATCAAATTTGCTGTTTTGGATTGCTTGCTCGAATTCACAACTTTCCATGAAGGGAATAGTCAACGCAGACTCATTTAAAAAAAGGCCATAAGTCATTCAACTGACTGTTTCGTACTAATGCAATTTGATTTTGAGGCAAAGAAACGCAAGAAGATCGAAATATGATTATTCTTCTTCTGCGCTTCAATTTCTGCAGTACGCGCGTAACAAAAAGCGGCTAATATTCACCGTAAAGCGCAAGATTTCCTCTCTCGAAAAAAACAAAAGCATGCAAATGTGCTAAAAAAAGCGAGCTATAATATTTTTCTTGGAAGCCGTCAAATAATCTCCCGTTCCTCAACATAGTCATAAGAATCAGACATTATTCTTTTCGATGATCATATTCGCTACCCAAACAAAGCCATAAAACGCTCAACTTACTTTAAATTGTGGCGCTTTGCGTTCCATTTGGCTCAGCGCAGATGTTGAGCAGTAAGAAACCAACTGACAACTTGATTGCTCGTCTTCCCACAAACTTCGCCAATCAATCGTTTTTGCAATGCCATTCGGTCAAAAACAACCCCCTTTGCCAATTGTTCTCTGCTCGATTAGAATTGACAATGAAATCAGGAAAAATGTAGAGATCTTGTTTTATTTTTCTGTAGACAGCACCGCGTGACAACCTAATCCATCTCGACGGAATTTTTGACGAAACTGTCCAAGCAATTCTCATCAACATTACTTACAAGAAAATGGGTTCCATTGAAAAGTCTGGCGACAGTTGTATCACCTTGAGAATGATGAATTTCGTCTCAGAAAAATTTTTCTTCATCAAAGCACCGTATTGGTAGTCCCAATAAGTCATGAGTAACTAACTAAGATTGATTTTGCACAAAAAGTAATGAAAAGGACAAAATGCAGATAAAGAATGCAAAAAAAGCAAGATGCAACAACCATTTCGTAGTGAGACCTTGACACCGAAACAAAAACTCTTCTATTCTGCATAATCACACATTGCTGCAAAAATTTTTTAATTGCCAACAGCGAGAGCTGGTACCTTTCACTTAAAAGATTTGGTGAGATTTTTGGAGCATGCAAAGAATCCCGAAATGCAGTCAAGCTCATTCGAGACTGTGATAAATACAAAAGACCACAGAGAAGAAGAGCTTGTAAATATGGATCACGTTCTCACCACTCTTTAAAGAAATAAATAGAGCAATAAATAATAAGAAAGCAACTTCCAGGTGGTGTGGTATCAATGGAGAATTATGTTGATGCACAACTCCTGCGCCAAAAAATAGAAATGTTATTCTAAAAAGTCGAACAAAGTAATCAATTTCCAGAATATGCTCTTCGTTATGTATATCAAAACTAGTATCTCATAGCACATTTTGAAAAATTCAATATGAAACAAATAATAAGTCAGTTTAACAAATTCGAATTCGTATTATTCGCAGAGACATCCAATCACTACCAGCTTTACTTAGTTATATGGAGTATGTCATAGAACTAAGACTAAAAATAATTTTGAATTCCAGTATACGTTTAGCAACTTCGGCGAGCAAAAACTAAAGAATCACTTTCAAGTGTTTCTCTTAATCAGCTTATATTGTTGCCAGATGCTCTCAAAGAATCCTAACTCAAGCACCTGCAGATAGCGCAAGGTTTTCTCTCTCTTTTATATAACGAATCAGAAGAAATTATGGAAGCTGGAGAAAATAACACAATTTCAAAAATTTTGGCGCAAGAATCATGCATCAACCTAATATTTACGTTTTACTCCCGAAACTATAGGGTAAAAAGAAGCAATGAAAACTTTGGATCACCCCCTACCATGTGTTGATGTGAACCCCAATGCTTTCCACTGCAAATAAAAATTAAAAAAGCAAATCATCTCGCCGAACAAGCTCAATTTTAACATTTGGAGTAAAACGAGCAACTGCGAGAGGTTTTAAAGAGATACCTATTTCTTCTCCTTGAAAGTCCAGTGGAAGTGCAAGGAAATATCAAATTAGTATCATATCCACACAAAGTGCAGAAACGCTTGATAAACTACAAAACGAGCTAGCTATCAATTCTAATTAGTGTTTATTTCTGATGGCCATAGGTCACAGCATCGTAATATATCAAGAACTCAAGTGTGAACTAAGACATCTACAGCGCAAATCCGTAAGGAACAATGGCGAAACAGGCAGTGATGACTATAAACAACGAAACGCAAAAAGGAATCTCAAGTGGTTTGGTCATAATCAAATTAGCAAACTAAATCTTCTGCGCCAAAGTTCTTCGAGTGCTGGCGAATCTCTTGCTTTTTTTACGCCCTTGAGAAAGGTAGTCTATCTTCAATACAAAATGATTGATCGAAATTTAAAAAAAATAGTTCGTTGTAATGGATGTGAATGTTCTAAACAAGTTACATGTCATTCAAAAGGTAGGATCAGCTCCAAGAAGGAGGTCGAAGGAAATTTGAGATGGTTGGTAAAATGATTTATACGTTCCAGCGCACACTGCGTTGAGGAGGAATCCAGACAGAACATTTACTCAAATCAGTATCCCGAGATTATAGAGCAGTACCACTATCCATCGCATATATAAACACTTAAGTTTTTCCAAGCCTTCTCTCAACGTAACCAAAAGAATAAAGATTCTGGTAACCGTTCAATATAGCTTACGAGGAAATGGTAAGAATTTAACCAAGCCATTCCAAACAAGCTGTACATCATCGGACTCGTCTTGAAACGCTGATTTCAAATATATGTTTTTATCTGCCAAGCGACTATCTGGGAGGGCTTATGAGAGTTCAAATATGAGAAATTTTTCGAGTTCCTACGAATATATTTCCTTTAAAAGCAACCAGATGGCGCGGATTTACAGTGGCTATAATTATTTCAATTACAAGGAAGAATCACATTCACCAAAGCCCTAAAAAAAGTGCTTTTGAAATCTATTTCGTGGAACTTGCGCCACAGAACACTCGACAAATCGCACATTAAACGCTCATAATCCCTCCCAGATAAACGCTTAGCAGATAATAAACATATATTTGTGATCAACCTTTCAAGACGAGTCCAATGATATACAGCATGTTTGATATGGCTGGGTTAAGTTCCCACCATTTCCTTAGTAAATCTAATGCTAATAGTGCTTTTGCAACCTTTGCGCGTAAACAATGCACTACGACCATTTCTATGCGCAAGCAGCGAGCAAGTTCTTGGCATTCACGAGTATCATTCAGCGCAAAAAATGCGTTCACCACTGCAACTATAGCATTGTCAAAGATTTGAGCTTTGAACGCAGTATTTGTACGAGATGTCTCCTCACATTCTAAGAAATGTATACGCTCCGCTGGTGCTCAGCGCTAATTGCTTACCCGTTAGGACTATCGCAGTGAAGGCAAAATATGGAAGGTTTTTTTCATTTCCCAGATTCTGCCGCCTTCATATTGTTTTCGTCTGAACAGTCACTAGTTAGTGAGTCAATATATTTACTAGGATCCCAAAAGCGCAAAAACTATTCAGACGCCGATTTCAGAGCAAAGTAAATTTACATACGATTCCGGCCAAAAATTGCACAACCTCATCTTTGGAAGATGTGAAGATTAGTCAATACGAGGTGGGGAAGTAAGAAATGAAAGTAAAAAATTGAAAAATTATACAATGATGCCAAGACCTGGTCTACAGCCCTAGTAACCCTACAGAATTTGTTTAGGTTAATGCAAGCCAAAGAGAATGCGGGGGAGGCTGCTTTCGAAACGCCGCTAGTGAGTTTTTTTTTTATAAGGTTGGCGGCGAAGAAGAAGTGCAAGAAAAAAGGAGAAAAAGTTAAGTTCAATGAGAGATATGCTCGAAAGCAGAAATCAAATGGTATGGCGTAACCACCCATGCTTATCCTTCCGTACAATAAAGCAAGTTTTTAATCCCAAGTGCAAATAAAGGGGGAAGCGAAGGTCAAGGTGATAGACCCAGAGACTCAAATGAGTGAGATTTATACGCAACGTTTTACACAGCTTTGCACCAAAGTTGTAAAGACTTTTTCTTTGTACTATCGAAGTCAAATTGTTTAAAAAAATTTTAATAAAAAAGGTAGAGTTTTAAAACCAACACCCTGGATAGAGTTGCTACTACAATCCACATCATGATCATACATATAATGCGATTATTCAATCTGACAGTCTGTAATGCGTCATTACCGGATTTCCTAGAGCATCGTTTGATTTCCAACAATTTTGCGCTATTTTTGAGGCTATCAAAAGCTGAGCATATCAATAAAGTAATGTGGAAGGGTGAGTCCGTAACGGAAGGAACGCGCGGACTTTCGGTAAAAACTTTAGGTACCACAATTTATGCACAAAGCATTGATATTGATAATAATAAACAAATTATCGTACTTTGAAAGTCAAAATAAAGAGCAAACAAAGCTATCTGAAATATCTATGCTCTCACCACTCCAGCCTTGGTCGCTACATTCAGCTTTTCGGCTGCCTCGCGTTCTTTGTCCAAAAGTGCACTTTTCTCATCTTCGGTGGGATCACGAGCACTGATCGGTTTCGTTGGACTCGGTGCTGATGCCGCCGCTGGTACGCGGCCTTTTTCTTCGTCGTTCGCCATGATCATTGCCCGGTCCAATGTTTTTGGTTCTTAGCCCTTTGTGTCGATCTGAATGCAACAGTTGCAGAAAATATAAAAAGTGAACACACGTATGATGTCGATGACGTGAAAGTGACGAAAAGGCAAACGAATGGAGGAAACATTGTGGTACGCTCTGAGACAGCAATGTGACATAGATGACGAATACAAGAAAAACTTCCGTGCATATAACGCCCACACAATAGCCATCTAAAGAGCCAAACGTGCCATAAATCTAACAGATAAGCCATATCCACGAGAGTTTTCGCATCATCCGACAAAACATACATCATCAACGTATGTAAAGCAAAAAAAGACCGCGTGCAAACGGCGCACTACAACATACAACGCCGTTCTGCAAGGGCAGACGGATAGATTTTTTTCGCTATGTAAAACAGAAAAAGCACTTGAAATCTTAGATAAGCATTAGGACAAGGGGAAAAACTAGTTCATCAGCGCTGCACTATTTCCTCTCGATATGCAAAGAAATTTGGTGCTATAGTCACGTCTATTAAAGGTAAAATTCATGAGAACTTTGCCTAGCTGCAAGGCAAGTTCCTCAGTCATGTGTTGCTGTCAATCAAAGTCTCTGCACTTTGAAAGGGGGCGTGTTGTAATGGCTAGAAAAACTCAAGGTATAGCCCAACGTGGAACCCGACATCGGTGCTCCATCTGTAAGAGAATTTCCAGGAACTAAGGAGACAAAAATAAAAACTCTACATCATAAATTTCCCAAAAAATCAACTCCTATGCGTTCAATGTTTCATTATGTTCTATGTCGCTAAGATACAGAATTAATCAATCAACTCGCGTGGATCAAAGGTTTTTCAGATGACAAGATGATAGATTATTTGTAGGTTAATGATAGACAGGCGATAGAGTATCGTTGGAAAATTTGCTAAAGAAATGGGGGAGTTAAATCCATCAGAGTTCAGTTTTCTTTTGCGAGTGGAAGAAAGCGACCATTGTAATAATATTTGCTCCCAAAGACGTGCAATAAAAAGATAACGAGCATTCAGAAGAGATAGTTTACTGTGCAGTTATTATTAGTGCGATACTGCAAGGGGTGGAAACACGAGCAGCACATCATTAAATTACGCTAACGAAAAAAAAAGAAGAAATGGCTGATAAAAAAAAACAGAAATGACACAGAAGGCATGCAAGATTGAGATTCAATATTGCCCAATTTATGCAATATATCTTGTCACACTTTCACCCACGCACACCCACGATTTATTATGAAATTTGCAGAGCAACACGGAGTTTCATGGAAATGTAGTGAATCTACAAATTACAAGATACTGAGCTGCAAACAACTCTTAGAGTGATTGAAACCGATGCCATAAGGCCAAACATAGAGCGGAACAGATTTGCAAACTAGAAAACAAAGATATGAACTCAAAAATAGCCGGATAATAACTCTAAATGTAAGCTAAATTTTGTAAAAAGAAATACAAGTAAAGATTTGATGACATATATGGAAAAAAGAAGAAAAGAATTGGCATTTGAAAGCAGCGACGCTAGCTGTAACTACGAATTAGGCGCTCACGCACTGCATAGGCACGAGCATTCAAGCCAGAAACGTCACCTAGATGTGCCTATTGCATCATCACTGCTTTCCCAAAAGAAAATGATTTCAGAAAATAAATTATAGAAAATATACAAATGAAAATGTACATATAAACATGACCGAATGATAACATAAACCAAATAGAGAAAACCACTTCTTTGTGGAAAAAAACCTGACACCACCAGTTGTATGGACCTTGGCTTAATACCAAGAGCCGGATGCGCCGAGCCATCTGCTTTTTGTCCAGGTGATGGTGAGTATTTGCACTGCAGAGATGCATGCTAATGCTGCAATCAGAGCTGATCCGAAAGAAGATAACGTGGCGAAAAAATGCCAAGAAAACCGCAAGAAATGATCTCGGTGATTTTCGCCGCTTAAAAAGCAATGCGGCGCGATGACCACGTGACTGCTGTCTAGCGTCGTCGATGCAAATGCCGTCGACGCGAAACTTAGTCAGCATTGGAATGTAATTATACTTCCGCAAACTAACATCACTACGTCAAGCAAGGGACCCTGAAGGGACCCTCCACCCAAAATGGGGAGACAAAATGGGGATGCTGAGATCTTGATGTTGTATAAAGCAAGGGGTCCTTATCTAAGCAAACGACCAAGTACCGCTGCAAAAGATGAATTCCGAAGCGAGAAAGTCGCTCCAGATTGTAGAAGTGGTGGTGGTCGCTCCGCCCACATGGTGGTCAAGATACAATCCAAAACTGCGCTTTGATGCGTCAAAAATTGACGAAACCCGCCATTGGTTATGATTGTCAGACTTTTGCAGTTTTGGACACGTTTGTGCCCAATTTTGGAATTGCCTTTCCTGACCACCCGCTAATGGGCGGGGCGACCACTGCCGCTTCCACTTTCTAGAACGATCATCTCTCTTCAAAATTCATCTTTTGAAACGGGACTTGAATGATTACTCAAATTGGAGACCGTTATCACACAGCATCAAAATCACACTATTGTCATTTCGGTGGCGGCTTTTATCAAAGAAAATTGATAAGCTCGAAAAAACAAAAATTTCAGAAAAAACAAACAGGTGCTTAGCAGAAGTGCACTCGTACAATATACAAACAGACTGAATAAATATGTGTTCGCACAGCTAGAATAGCACTCACATGCGAGAAAGGCTGTGTAATTCGATACATACGGACGCCTAAGCGCCTACAGCAGTGAAAGCATCGAAGCAAATGTAAGTTGACAGAGAATTTCTGGCCATTCCACAAACAATTATGACTTGTTTGAGGAGCGACAACGTACTCTACAATTATTGCACTGAGGACAGGAGTGCAAGAGATAGTTTCGCAGGAAAAAAACTAGTTTGGAAATTGACACACGATAATTTACACTCAATCGCTTGAGTACGCTACGTGCTCTACACGCACTCAACTTTTTCGCACTCTGCCCAATTTCCCATTTTTAACAAGATAAATTTCCAGAAACGGAAATAACCAAGCATTCAACTATCTACTAGAAAAAACTTCCTCCTCAAAAATTCAGTTAACTTTCGCATCCATTATGAAGCTAGATGCAAGATAGAAAAAAGACTGAAGTTTTGAAACTTTTGAGAATGTCCCTAAAAATACCTGCAAAAAACCTGTAATCTTTCTAGGACTTATACAAAAAATTCAACTGCAGTCGAATGCAAAAAAGGCGTCTCCAACAAGATCCTTGCGCTACTCAAAAAAATTTTCTCTAGTTTTGCAGATCTGAAAGCAAAGCTAGAACGAAGAATGAAAAGGCTAAAGTGGAAAGTAAAGGGAAATTCATACCTTTCAGCTGACAAAGGAACGCAAAGGAAATACAAATGACAAAAATAGGGGAGACCCACAGATCAAAAAATCATTTTTCTGACTTGAAGCTTTCGCCAATGACTGAACATAAAAATTTAGGGGGGCATTCACAAAGAAGAAGCTTTTAGTGAAATTTGAGATTCATTACAGAATAAGTATGCTGAAAAAAGACGAACGTAAACACAAGCTAATGGACTCATAAATTATTCACGCTATTTATAAAAATGCACAGACATGCATCCATTACCTCAAGAAAAATTTTTTTATTGTCCATAAGCCAGATGTCACTAGAACTGAGATACTTCGGGGAGCGCTATACTAATCTTATTATGCACAACCTCAAGCCACATGGACAGAGTAATTGACCTAGAGATGCAAAATTGAATGCTTCCATAGAAAATTAGGCAAAGGAGAAACTCTTGGCATATGAAGTAACAGAGGCAAAATATAGTTCTGTACACTAGCCAAGAGAAAATGATAACAAAGCATCATCGCTCAACTGATAATATAAGCCGCTATAAGAAGAAGAAAATAATCTGCGTTATGGACAGAAATCGATGTTTTAGCCGTAAGCACCCAGTCAGAGAACACACTTAAGCCTACTGGTGACGGATATTGGACGATGGATGTGATGTGTACTCTCTGGTCGACGGATTGGTGTCGATGGTGCACACAAGTCTGGCGCCATCTGCCCCATTACTAATGCGATAGTGCGCCTCATAATAAGCCTAATGGGTTGAAAAAAAGGGGTCGTTATAGGTTGGTTGACCTAGATAGATGTAGCAAGCAATTATGACTGGTTTTGCAACTGCTACTGTAAAGGTGGAGTGTAGGACATATTAAAAAAGGTTTTAAGAATGGAAATGCTCACAAGCAAACAGAATAAAGAACATGCACAAATTCAAAATCATGCAACTGTCAAAAACGAGAGATAGTCAAACTTCAATAAGAAGAGAAAGTGACACATAGGGAATTGAAAAACGAATAGATGATAAGAAATGAGTAATCTTACAGTTGACAAGTAGCAAAGGTATTGAAGAAGTTATTCTTCCACATCTCATCGTCAGCTCTTTGAAATTGTGGCTGAGCATATGACTTGAATTCCAAAAACAACTTATGCATGCATTACAATCGTATATTATCAAAACGGTTAGGGAAGTGCCCAGCAAAAACTTTGCAGGCAAAAAAATCTAGGACGATTTCGAAAATAAAAGTTAAAAAGATGATATGAAGGATAAAGTCCAAAAGCTCAACAGAACCTTCTAGTTTCTCTTTGCATATTACGAGGCAATCGGTTCAGTATAGCTTTTTATCATGCTCTCAATTATTGCTTGCTCAGCAATGTCGACTACTGTCCTGCAAAATAATCAACGAAGATCTTAGTTCGAACTACCCTCAGCCAAAACGCAATCGGATTATTAGTGACTAAAGCCTATAGAAGTTCAAAAATACCTATGCTCAAAAAATAATTACGTCTACCGCTGACAGGGAGCACTGTGTACACTTGAGGTTTTTTTTTGAATGCACAATGTGTGTACAATTTCCGCCAAGTTGACAATGGAAGGCCAGGTTCTCAGGTAAGAAGTAAATGAAGTGCAATCACGCTCAATCAAACATGATCGAATCTAACTGACGGAGAAAAATAAGGAAAGGCACAAAACACCGACCTCCTGAAAATTGTGCAAGTACACACATCAATCAGAAAAATACTTGAGTGTAGATACTTTGTCCAGATATTTTTATTGCTCCTGCGCGACTTTGATCCTGAACAGTCAGTTATGCCATTATAGCAAAGCAACCAAATACCATCTCCACTTCAGACAGGACTTTCATTTGTGAAAATTTCTTACTGTGTATTACTAAAACAATTCTAATAAAAGAAAAAACTCCTAGAAAGCAAGCAATTTTGCGGGCTAAAACGAACTGAAACATTCGCGGAGACGCCTTTCCAAGGCGAACACAAAAAACTAAGACTTTAAGTGGTCTATCACTCGTGCAGCTATTCCACAATGTGTATTGATTCAGGGTGAAATGAGATTCGTGATGAAAATCTCAAAACTCAGAGTGTGTATGGACAGTTTCAATTGACTTTGATGACTGGGCGAGACTAGACGAACAGAAGAACTCAGTGCAATAGTTGAAGAGAAAAACAGGCTATAAATAAATGAAGCTCATGTACAAAGTAAGAGCAGAGACTGGCTCAAATCTTCGAGATAGAAATGGAAGCAGAGATCAAATACTCAAGATTTGAATCTTTCATCCAGATATCCAATAAAGAATCGATTATAAGCAGTCAAGCAGCAACCAAATGGGAAGGAAATAGATTATGGAAATGAAAGAACCACACCCACTATCCCAGCAATAGATAGTGAAAGCTCACTGAACGAGCATCAAAGTGGTAGTCACCAAAACCGATAACAAATAAACTACAAAATGATGAGAAATTAGGAAAATGTTATGATGCAGATAACAAAACTGAATAATTCTCTAGTAATATTTGATTTACATTAGAAATAGATTTAAAAAAGAGACTCCTACATACCTTCGATTTCCAATTCTACACCAATTGTGCTCATTTGGAGCAAGAGCAATTGCATCAGGCGACATGCTTCCTTGTACTTTGCGATTATAGTCACGTGTTGCCGCCCACAAACCCAAGTGCGCTGCCAAAAATGAAAGCTTGATAGTGACCTTCTATAGGAGTACCAGCAAGCGAAAGGCTCTTAAGATAAGAAAGAAACCCGAGAAACCCGTTGGAAATTGAACTCTGAGCAGTCAATGCGAATTGCAAAAGCATGGCAACATCGATAAAAGCATGCTGACTATCAAAATGATATACTACCTGATAAACCCTTGTTGAAAGGTGGGTAAAGTGAAAAACGTCTGTTAATCGAGTAATGTATACAGAAAACCAAAGAAGGCAGAATTCAAATAATCAGGGAAAAACTGTAACAAATCTAGGAACATACTATTTTTACATCAATAATGAAGTTGGCTTTACCTTTCAGTTACTTAGTTACGGAAGAAAATAAATGAAGCATGTGCAGCTGAATCACGGAAGTCCACAGCTGTCCACCTTCTCAAAAACCTGATAGCAAAAAATATGAATTTCTAATTGAAGAGAAGTCTCAATTAGAAAAGTGTGTAATAAAAAGCAGCTGTCATTTACTGTCCATGCAGAAAAAGCTTTAAAATCTTCCGGGCGCCTGTACATAGAGGTTTTTGTTCTTCGAACGGGGTAAAAAACGCCCTATAAAGGACAGTCATAACAAGAAATGCATGACAACCATTTTCAGCTTGGTTCATAGAGAAAAATAAAGTGCAAGCAATAAGAATCAGGTGCTATTCTCGCCCACTCCTTCATAGGTGAACTTCACTAATGGAACATTTTGCGAGTGGGAAACATGCTCTGCTCGAAAAAAAAAAACACGGCAGTAGAACATGGCGGGTGAAAAAAAACAAAGTCAACACAAAGTACAGCGTATGATTGCCTGCGAACGGACTCGGAACTAGTGGGTGACAATCTACAAAGAAAAAACGAAAAGCTTTGGAGTACCAGGAAAATTAAACTCATTGCTGGCACGTATGCGCCACGACGTCTCTAGCTGGATCGATAGCTTAAATAAAGAAGAATGCGGGGCACAAGCTTAAATTCTATGCATGTTGAAAGTCAAGTTAATTGACTACTCCTAGTTTTCATTTGAAACAACAATCGAACAACAATATATGGATTAGAATGAGCTAAATAAAACATTCAAGAGCCGAATCTATACTAACTTCCAAGAAACGCTCATTGCATTGAAATTAGAGCCGAAGTGTAAGAGATAAAAAAAGCCACTAGAGGAAACAATCTACCGGTATATTGAAAGCTCGTAACCGTCAAAATATGCAGCGAACACGTAAACAAAGACAAATGGCGTCCAAAGCGGCGTAAACAAAAATTTCCCGCGCACTCATTTGCATTGCGCGCAGTTGCAGACCAGAGTTGATTTAGGCGTGACGTGGCGCGGACCAGAACGACCTTGCTAATACCTATCTATCAGTTCATCACATTATCGAAACCTCGAACATAGTTTGGTTTGAACAATGGTTGATTAATTAATAATCAGTGGTTAATTCACTGATCTAGTAATTAATTAATCAATTAATTCATAACTAGCGTTTGATTTCCCATTCAAAACGTACTTTTGATTACTCTCAATTGTTTGAGAATGCGATTATGTCTAACGCTAACGTAACATAACACAGGGAACAAAAAAAGAGCAGACGTAATAGAAGCCCACGACGGGATAGTTCATGCTAGCTTTTTAAAAAACTCTCTACAGACTCTCTTAAAGTCTGCGCTCAAGGGCACAGACCATTTAGGGCATTTATCAAATAGAGAGCTTCAAACGGCTCTACATGATCTGAATTTTTTTTTTGTTTTCGTTGCTGAGACAATCTTAACTAGAATTTTTATGCGGATACTAAGGCTCGGCCCTTCGCTCAAAAGCGCCCAAATTCTTCCAATTCTATTCACTTACTCGTATGAGGAGAGCTGACAGAAAGTGAAGACAGGTTAGAGAATTTGGGCGCTTTTGAGCGCTTTTAGACGCTTTTGGGCGCTTGAGCGAAGTCTGGCCGGGAGCTAATTGCGAAATTTTTGGTAGGGGAACGAAAGCCGCCAGTTTGAGCCGCCTTTCGCCAACTGGTCCTTTCGCAGTGTTGTTGCATGCCGTTCCAGAACCAGCAGTCCGCGAAGGCGGCCCAAACTGGCGGCTTTCGTTCCCCCACCCCGAAATTTTAGATAAGCCATCACCCAAGGTGTAGCTTTTAGGGTGCGTTCATACTGATCCGCAAGTTTGGAACAGGTCCAGCACAGCGCGAGAATGCACAAGAATTCTAGTTCACATGCGTTTACAGTATGCTACCAAATTACTCAATGAAGCAGTATCGGTTACGATACTGTAATATGAGTGTAAGGAGACATTGTGTGTTGAAGCACTACAGGTTATCTCAATGAGAGTGTCAGACCTCTATCGGCTCGGGTCTTTGCGACCGCCTCGCTCAGCTCTGTGTCGCGTTCGTGCTCTCTGAGCATTATCGTATGCCTCAACATCGAATGCAGACTGCAGAGGAGTAGGAAAATGCCCAGAAGTCAGATTTGCGAACGCGTCGTTAGGCCTGAGCGAGGCGGTCAGGAGGGTGCGAGCCGCTAGAGCTTTGACACTCACGGTGGGACAACCTATGCAGTGGAAATGATGAAACATTTTTGTGTCTTGAGGATCGCAAGCAAAATGTCCAAAATGGATTGTGGACAGGAACCAGAACAGCAGAATTTTTTTAGGTCATGTCAAAAGATGTAAATCTCAAAAAAACCTGGGCTAGGCGGAGCTGTGGTTGGGCTAGGCGGAGCTGTGGTTGCGAAGCACTTATAGACTCGTACTTTGAATGAAATGAAAATTTCTTCCTTAGTATCGCCTGTTCATAACAAGCTCCTCTCATTTTTTGTGTAATCGACTAGCTAAAACCTCTTGATAGAGTAATCATGTTACAAAGGGAATATAATGTGTTATCGCCCTTCTTTTCGGGACCACATTTCGAGAGTAGAAGAATAGGTTTGGAAAAAAATCGCAACAATTTCTGCACTAATATATACGAATTATCGAAGTAAATCTGTAGAAAACAAACGACTGAGAAAAATATATTTATACTCTTGTCAGAACTTATTACAGTTTATTTGCAAGACTTTTTCCGATGTCCTTTCTAATGAGAACTGGTTTGTAATGCACGAAAGTATCGAAACCGAATTTGTGCCCGATTTGTCCCATGCCGCTGTTGCCAACTCCACCGAAGGGGAGAGTGCTCACTGAAAATAAACATTTATGGTCATATACATTACAATATCTTATGATAATAGAGAAAGTGGTTCCCACAAATTTTTTAGGAGGAAAAATACTTTCTATTCCAGGATTAGAATTTAGATCATTTTGACTTCATTCTCGATGGGTGGACCACATAGACCTAATGCAAATTCAACAAAGTCTGGTCCTCGATGTAATGATTATTGAGGTGATTTTATAGGAGCATATCTGGAATTTAAAGAAAGAATATGGTCGATTCGTTAACCGCACGGACTGGACATCACTGCGGAGCACGCGCCGCGAGGTAAAACACGTGCCTCAGTACAAATTCGCCATTGTACAAACGCGCTCCAGCATCATTTCAGCCGCGACGCGCTGGTCCGCAGCGTTTCAGCAGTCCGGCGGTCAACGAATCAACAATACGTTTTTTCAGTAGTGCCGAGAATTCATCGTTACCATACGGGGATGAAAGCTGATAAATACGAACGCTCAAACCGTATTTTTTTCAAATTTGGCCGCCAAAATAAAAGAACCGCAACTTCTAGTCGTATTTTGGCTTGGACCTCACGACTTTCTCCTTTTCATCAAACAAATGCTAACGCAAATTCATACTGATCCGATGTCTCAACAAAACCTGAGTTTTTTGAACTTTATTTTTATGATTTGCTTAAAAAAACTCTGTTGTATGCAACAAAATACCAAGTATGTTATACACATGGAAATAATAGCTATGACTGTTGGAGCATTTTCAATGTTAGATGTTCTGCATATTTTTCAATAAAAAAACATCCCATTTTGCGCCATAACATTGGAATTAAAATTTTGCAAGAGCAGATATTTCAAAAGAGATAGCGAAAACCTTTGAATAGTATATTGACACCTATGATTAAGCTGCTATCAGCCCTAAGGCTGCACCCAGAGTCTGCTCACAAATCCTGCGCTGCACGGGAATCCGCGTAGACGCGATGCGTATTGATCGATCAGCCATGCCGGCAAAGTTCCGGCACGGCGCTGGAGCGGCGCTGGCACAAGCACTATGGACGCTTTAGCCACACTATTCTCAACTTGCACGTCTATCTAAAGGATTTGGTAGCTTTTAAAGGTTTGAGTTCGAGGTCGCTAAGTTTATAGGCGCTTTCGTAAGAATATATTTGAGCCAATTTTAAACTATCATGAAATTCAGTACTCTCTTAGGCAGAATCATAAACGTCACCTCTTTAGAAGCCTTCTGGATGACAAAGTGTGTGTAAAAAGCCTAACATTTACGCAACAAAGACTGTGAGTCATGATTTTTTTAAGTGTGGGAATTTTGCTTTCGCAATGTTTTCCTAATGGCAAGAATTAAAACATATCACCTTACAGCTTATACTTACCGAAAGCATGACTCATCACGTCGTTGACCGTTGCACCACCGCTAGATGTTTCTTTCAAGAAGCGCTTTGCCTGAAAATCGCAGTAGAGGGATGGAGAAGATGGGGAGGGGGGGGGGGGGGAGAGAGGATATGAAAATTACCTTCTCCGCATCCTTGGTGAACAGATAAGCGCCAAGTGGTTTTTCGTGATCTTTCACGAATTCAACTGCTTCGTCAAACGACTTCACAGTCAAGATAGGCAAAAATGGACCGAAAATCTGGAAAATGCTTGTTGTCACCCGACTTTCCAGTAGATATGGTTGCCAGACAGATTTGCTTTTACCTCTTCCTTCAAGAAATCATCGTCTTTCTCAATTTCGACCACATGAGGGGGTATAAATCTATCCTTACGATCTGGTTCCCCACTAGCTTTATAGGCGATGCGTCCTTTCGTGTTAGATAGCAGAGAATTAAGCCGGCTGGAATAAATTAAATTAATTCAAAATGAAGCTCACATTCGACAAATCATCAAATTTTTCAATTTTTTTTCAAACTTATCAGTGATTTGATAGATAACTCACTCAAAATGCTTTTCATTGACAATGCGAGAAAAGTTCTTATTCTTCTTCAGTGGCTCCATGGAACTGAACGCTTTAGCCAAAGCATCCACCAGCTTTGGCTTCACCTCTTCCGTGGTAAGAACCTATATAGAAGAGACTATATAGAGATAAGCATCGTCCATCTAAGAAATGTTTTAGCTTACGTAATCTGATGACAAACAAATTTGCCCGCAATTTAGTGTTTTTGAGAAGACGATCTTTTTAGCGGCATCTTCCAAATCTGCATCAGGTTCGACAAGAACGGGGCTGAAAATTTCCAATCATCCCCCACGTATATTCGAGTAGATATGACAGCAAATATAGTGTTCTTACGGTGCCCAGAGTTTGCGGTAGAATTCGCGCGCGAATACCGATTTACTCGCGCAAAATGTCGACATTTCAGACGCAGATGTTTCTTCGCGCGCAAATTTCACCGCAAGCCCTCGGCACCGCAAAGGCACTATATTCCCCAACAAGTCTATTCTACTACGAATCATCCCTTTATGATTTTTTCGCTTTCTCTACAAACCCTTCCGCGTAAAGCTAGAAATTTTTATATTCAAAGACCTTACTTCTTTCCTCCAAGCTCGAGTGTGACAGGGGTAAGATTTTTCGCCGCAGCCGCCATGATTACCCTGGCCACAGTTGGATTACCGGTGTAGAGAATGTGATCAAATCGTTCTTCGAGCAATGCTGTCGTCTCAGGTATAGCACCTTCAACGGCTGCGAATAATTTCTGAAATCACAATTAGGATCGGAGAACGCCATAATTTTTTAATTCAAGCATCGAATTTTCACCTTGATGAATTTATTTTTAGTATTTTATTGCTATAAGCGAACGTGTAAAAAGCTATGTTGCTCGGGTCGCAACTGTTAAGCGCTAGTCGTTCTTGTGATGCGTAGTTTGTGGCAGATGTCCGAGCAGGCAGAACCTGTTATACACTTTCTTTATCAATTCTAATCTTACAAAACTTGATGAAAGTGCTCTGTTCCATGCGTGTTGGTGAAATGGGTCAATATTTGTGTACATGGAAACTGCTACAGTTTTTCTTCTCAAATTTTCAGCAAAATTATATATGTACTTACTAAAAAATTAGCAATTTGTTTTTTTCCGATTTTGGTCAACTAAAAGAATTTTTACGAAAAGTCGCCTATGATTTTTGATCTTTTACGGTGGCGACAAAGATTTAGTCGTGTGTCGGCGTGCTATCCCGACCCCTTGGCCGTGCCAGTGCCGTGCCAAGCCACGCAGGGACGGCCAACTCTGGAAGCAGCCTGATGCTTTACTGGTGTAACTGCTTTTTTTCCAAGCACTTCCAAATATGGTTTCTGATGCATTTTTTACAATTGAAAACCGAAACTTGCTTTACCTACCTTGTCAAAGTACTTGGTGACCAAACCCGAAAACACAGATGAAAAAGTTGGCGCGAACTCTGACAGCTTCAGAATGACAGTGTTACCTCAAGCAAACATATGAGTAGACTAAAATGTCTCGGTATGCGAAAGCTTACCTCCAGCCAAGGCCGATGCGAATGGCATTGAGGTGATCAAGGGGAAATTCCATGGAGCTATCACAAGCACAACTCCCAATGGTTCCGGAATGCTGAATAAATCATCTTCAGCGGACAATTCTGAGGGTGTTTCGACCTATAAGGAAGCATATTGTCGAAGAATTGCGTGTGCAGAGTTGGTTACCTTTTTAGGAGCATTCCATTCTTCCAGGTGTTCCAGCAAATCGTCAACCTCTCTTTTCGCGTTGGCTATTTCGTTTGTAGCGTCCTGAATATCTCGTAATTAGATGGAACAGATAAGGATCAAAGGAAGAGCAGTGCAATGGACACACCCTACGTAGGTCGCTATAAATTGCCTCTTTGATTTCCTCGCTATGGCCCTCGAGCATTTTTTTCAATGTTAGTAATGTTTCGCGTCGTGCCTTTAAACATTGCGTTCCTCCGGTTTTGAAAAATTGACGCTGGTTAGCGACTAGCTGGAAATAGGTGGATGATGCCTGGAGTGAACTATGGTTCTACTAGATTGAAAGATAAAGCTTTCTGTATATCATTCGAACGCTCCTGATGAATTTTTGCAATGTTTTGCAATTTCTTGAATCTGTTTTTGTGAAGATTTTGTGCGATTCAACATGACGGGCCCTATTTTCCTCAGTCCTCTTAAAGCAGTGAACGTGCATCTTTGTTTGTCAAATATCAGTACAACAAACGCTATGGCGCTGTTTGGCGCAGTTTCATCAAAAAATAAATATTGTGTTGATTTAGTTGCTGAGCCAGTCCGAGATTGGTAAATATATTTATTAGGCTGACGTTTCGGCTATGTCGCCTTCTTCAGAGCCTGAAATGGGCGACAACAATCTATAAACTATCCGATCAAGCATCTCCTCAGCCTCACAAACAAAATTCTAAGCTTTCTTTCGGAGCACAGGCAAGCTGCCACACGCAATACTCACCTTTTCGACCGCCGGTAAAATTCTCGAGTATAAACGAGCGCTAACTGATAACGTAAGTGAATGATTGAACATGTCTTCACCGGATCAGAAAATCTGATCTAGATATGGTGCGAGCTCGCGTGTGATAGAGAGGCATTCATCTTTGCGATTCATTTTGGGTTGTTTGAAATGAATCCAAAATGCCTCCAAAGTCTTGCGGGTAGATGTTTGCGGTTCACGCGCTAAGATCTCTACATTTACTTCAAAATTCACTCCTTCATGCTCTTGCACTCTATGGGCGCCCAGTGGAGTGGATAAGCGTGATCTTTCTTTGCCATTGAGATGTTCCTTGATGCGTACGCATAAGGGACGTGCTGTTTCACCGATATACTCGGCTCCGCAATCCTTGCATGAGATGAGGTAGACAACTCCCGCGCTCATGCAGTCGCCGTCCTTTGCTGTGGGACATACTAAACAGTTTGACGTAGTGCAATTACGATCGTACATGCGATTCCGAATAAGAATGCGTTTCAAATTGTTCGGAGGCATGTCCACTACCAAAACCAAACCACTACTTTCCCTTATGCGTACGCATCAAGGAACATCTCAATGGCAAAGAAAGATCACGCTTATCCACTCCACTGGGCGCCCATAGAGTGCAAGAGCATGAAGGAGTGAATTTTGAAGTAAATGTAGAGATCTTAGCGCGTGAACCGCAAACATCTACCCGCAAGACTTTGGAGGCATTTTGGATTCATTTCAAACAACCCAAAATGAATCGCAAAGATGAATGCCTCTCTATCACACGCGAGCTCGCACCATATCTAGATCAGATTTCCTGATTCGGTGAAGACATGTTCAATCATTCACTTACGTTATCAGTTAGCGCTCGTTTATACTCGAGAATTTTACCGGCGGTCGAAAAGGTGAGTATTGCGTGTGGCAGCTTGCCTGTGCTCCGAAAGAAAGCTTAGAATTTTGTTTGTGAGGCTGAGGAGATGCTTGATCGGATAGTTTATAGATTGTTGTCGCCCATTTCAGGCTCTGAAGAAGGCGACATAGCCGAAACGTCAGCCTAATAAATATATTTACCAATCTCGGACTGGCTCAGCAACTAAATCAACACAATATTCATCATGCCGAGATTCAAAGACAGTCGCACTTTTCAAAAAATAAATAGTTTTGGGGAAAAAATCAAATTTTTCTGGTTGTTCATCCACAAAAATTTAAGTTAATGAGAACCAGGTTGATACTCTCTACGTGGTCTGTTCTATCTTGAAAGGCTTGCTAAAAAAGCAAGTATTTTCAAGCATTCGGCATCCTGTGCTACTGTGAAATTTCGAGAAAAGTTATAAATCAACTTGTTCCCTTACGTAGACATACAGGGGTAGAGCGATATCGGGAACGTTGATAAGTGAAGCAAGCATTTTTGAGGGCAAAGTTCACTTAAATAAGAATTTGAAGATTTAATATTAGTTCCAAGCCATTACGGTAAACTTTGATACATGTTTGAAGAGTGAATTTTTGTCAGCAGCACCTATCAATTTTGTGAACCGCGTAGATCGCGAAAAACGTTTTGAAGAGTTTCGCAAGATCAGAAGAGAAATGATCCAGGCCTGTGTCACTGCCTGCTATTAGTACTGAAGTGAACCCTAGAACAGTAAAAGAAGTCATAAATCCATTGACCTGACTTGTCTAAATTACCTTCATTTTTTCAAAACCTTGCTAGCATAAAATTCCTAATTTGCTTTTACTGAGATATCAGATAAATTTTTGATAAACAAGAAATGGTAAACATTCATGGGTTAAGAGTAAGTATGGCATAGAATACAAACCTCTTTGTACGAAACCATTGCAGCTGTTAAGAATTCGTTTACCTAAAACGATATGAGTGACTATTGAACTGGACTATTGAACCTTCTGAACTCGGCAATCGACTTAGAAACATAAGAAAAATATCTTTACGACAGAATATATTTTCTTTAGTAGGGAACTAATCAGAGAAACTAAGGCGTAGGATCTGCTGAATGATAAGACTGTTCACAAACCAAAGGTCACAGCAGCGATGGCACGGCATGGGTGGCAAATAGCGACTTTCCGCACAAAGCTCTATGCTCTTGAGATAAGAAAAGAGTAATAAGCAGAAACTCGCGAAAGAAAAAAATTTGAGAGTTGGGAAAGGACAATTTTTTTGTACAAAAAATAGGCAGGACTAGCGACGATCTGGAATCGATTGTAGAGAGAAAACAAAATTGAAGGATATGATTTTTGATCTCCTCAGACAATGTTTTGATGAATCACATCAGGCAAAATGACGAAAGACCACCTGTTCTGTAAGCAAGATTCTCCAGCGCTCAAAATGTGAGTTTATTTGTTATCAAATTCCATCATGAGAACATGACAAATGTAATTCTTAACCTCGTAGTATGCTGTTGGAGCAGGAACGTTCTAATAAGTCAACTTTTTTGGGATATATCTATGGTGAAGATTTTCAAGATATTCTCATGCAGAGGTTCTATGAACCATTTGGAATTGGCACAGTTATGACACAGATTAATGTTTCCCTATGTATGATTTAGTAAAGTAGCAAACGAATTCGAGAAAAGGAGAGAAAAGGTTTCCAAAAGCCATGAATTCGTACAATCATCGAGGGGGATAAGCAGGAAAAATGCTTTAGCTTGGAAAGTTGGGCTGTATTTTATTTGAGATTAAGCCCACGTTGAAAGCTTTTTGCGCGCTATTCCCCGAGAAGTTGCGTATTCTTGACATTTTTAAGAAACCACCAAATAATGACCGTTATAGAGTTTCTGTTGCTCAAAATTGAACATTAGAATAATGGGGCAACAAAACAGAGCACAAATAAATTTCCTCTGACCTTCTTGATATAACAAGCGTTGATATCAAATTTTCAGATTATTTATTTTGAATTACAAACACAAGTCAATTATCCGCCTGCAAATTGTTGTTTGAGGTGCTCAGGCATGCCCAGATCTTTCATATATAGTAAAAACAGGTGATTAATGGAAAAACCAAGATCCAAAAATGGACAATACGGCTGCTGTTCAATCTAGTCAAGCGATTCCAGTGCAGACCTTTTTTATATCTGATAAGACCAGAACATTGTAGAAGAACTCTGGACAATGATATAATTAACTAACTGTGCATCTTTATTAATACATTCATTTCAAACATAACCACCAATTTGTATCGTGCCATTTGATGAAAAAGAGTCGGTCTTTATGAGAAGTGGTGGAGTGTAAATATCTCTGAAAAACATATTCACAAATCTCGAGTAAATAGGTCGTCAAATTTTCCATTACCTATTAACAGTTTGCCCACAAATAGGTTCTTCTTGTCCAAACTGTTTAACGGAGGCCGCTGTCCAAGGTCCAAATATATGAAAGTCGTCGAAATTGTTTGGTGTTTCAGCCATCGGACCGCTACCAAGTACATTCCAGTACCTAAGCTTTTCACGTAAGGTCCAATAAATCATATTATACCAACCATAGGGGAGTGTCAGTGGGACCAGTCCAGTCGTGCGTGATTTGTTGCCAGTCGTAACCACTCGTATAAATACCGATTGTTATTCCATAAGCCTAAAGATACCGTTGTGCGCCAAAGGCGGACCCTTTGGTTACACATAGGCGATTCATCGCACGCAGAGACAGATTGCCGACGCGGACGTTGTCGGAGTTCGCAGATAAAACACAATTGCATTCCTCTAACTGTCTGCTGTCTCTACTCAACATGTACTGTCTCGTTCGGACGCAAGCGTTCACTATTTGCATGGGAGGAATCGCCTATACATACCTTGGCTGCTTCGATGATACCATTGATAAAGTCTACATTTTTTGCAATGTTGGCTTCCCACTTTATTGGCGACGTGATCTAAAAAATTTTCCTCCATTTATGATATAGCTAAAAAACTATTACTCTACCTGCAGCCAGATCGTTTTGATGTCAAAGTTAGTTTTTAGGTTTGTATAGAGTTCCTGAAATTGTTGGGCACCCGTCTTTGTGGAAGTGGGGTTTGGGGTCATGTAAACTTCCGTGTATCAGGTTAAAGGGGTGCACAGACCTTTGCCTGATGGTGTAGCGGTGTTATTGTACTGTGTCCAAGACATAAGTAATTATAAATTAGTTTATTATATAAGTTACATAAAAGGAGAGGAAAAGGGGGGAAGGGTAGACTGGTATGAGGATGACCAGCCAGGAGAGGGAGTGTGTGTAAGAGTTATTCATGCTGTCTTTTATACTCGTACAACAGCAACTGTGTCGTAGGCGGGGTGGCGTGTCCAGTAAACAGTGGAAGCATGACGAGGCATAAGATATGGTGAAATGATATCCCGACATCTCCATTCCTACGGTAAGCTCGTCCTCGAGCTTGTTGAAGATTGATTGAAAAAAGTGTTGCTCTTGTTGGCATACCAAGGTAAGATTAGGTGAACTGTTGAAGCAGTCACGACCTTCTCTTTACCCCGGATGGTTGAGGAAGCTCGTCCTCGAGCGATGAGAGAGTGTAGAATGGCGTTGACGTCGTCGGTGATATTGTCGAAGGGACGGCCATGGTGTCATGCATTGCAGTGGCAGTAGTTGGGGAAGTTGAGATTTAGGTGACAGGCATTATTGTTGTACAAATATAAGTCAACAGTCATGTTTAGTAAGTAAATCGTAAACATTACATAAATACGAAAAATGTTGAAGTGTTGCACAGGGGGACGAATATATTGGTACAATATTCGGTGTAGTGAAAAAAAAAAACGTCAAGTTTATGATAATGGATTGTAATTTACAAACGAAGTACTCTCTATTTATTTATTTATTTATTTTCTTAAAGGGGGGACTTGTTCTGAAATGGCACAATTTCGCCAAATCAGTGCAAGGGCGAAATTTGTAGTAGAATAGTACGGAAAAAAAAATTTTTTTTAAATTTTTTTTTTACTAGGGCTGCTTAATAGAAAAAAAAATTTTATTTCTGTGAATCGCCAATTCAAAGAAATTATGTATGTTTTTAGCGCGGTTGCGGCATGAGAAAAAAAAATGGAGAAGAAAGAAAAAAAATTCAAACTTACTTGCTCTGTTAGTCAGAGAGATAGGTTTCACAGTTTACAGTTCTTCAGAATCTGTGCTATCGCTGTCCAGATTCTGGCTGTGGAGCTGTAAACTTTTAGGGCGACTAACAGGATGTTCGTCATTTGATAATGTTTCCGAGGGTATTGGTGAGTTTTGAATTGATTGATGGGAAACGTTATCAAATGAAAAACGGGAACAATAGATTTTCAATCTATTGATATGAACAGTTTGACTGTTTTGTTTACCAGTCAAGCTTTTGATAGTAATATTAGGACGATTTACGCTTTCTACGAGGTAAGGTCCTTTCCACTGAACTGAGAATTTTGGCCTGACAGTATCGTCGTGTAATAGCACAAGATCTCCAGTGGAAATTTCCTTCGTAAAAACTTTATGCTGAAAATCGTATCCTGCTTTGTACCTTGCGGCTTTTTCTGCAAGTTGCTTTCCTACTTCCGTTATAGTTGTTTGGAGCGCAGTTGTGAGTTGATCAGCAAAGCTATCCGAAGCATACGAAATTCTGGATGGAAGTTGGTGCACAATGTCGCACCAAGTTATGGGATGTCGTCCATAAGCGATGAAATATGGGCTGTGACCTGTGGTGTCATTAACGCTGGTATTATATGCGAAAACAATAGGCTGAAGAAAATCAGACCACATATCGCGTGCTTCCGAACAGTAAGCCGTAAGGGAATCGGTGATAACTTTGACTAAACGCTCAACTTGCCCATTTGCTTTATGATTATAGCTGGTTGTAAAAGAGTTTGCAATTCCCAAAACGTGGTTGATTTGAGCGAACATTTCACTCGTATAATTAGATCCACGATCGGAAACGATCTCGTTAGGTATGCCATGTTTGGAAATAACATCATTAACGAGAGCTTTTACAACTGTATCAGTCAACTGATTTGGAAGTGGAGTGCATATGATTAGTTTGCTAAATGCGCATACAGTTATGGAAATAAATCTACTTCCGTCAATACATTGGGGAAGTGGACCCACAATGTCGGTGTGTAGACGCTCAAATGGTCGCTGAGGTATTGGAAATTCTCCTAATTCCTCACGAATAATATGACCAGATGGGGTCTTAATTTTCTGGCAAACAGGACATGAGTTTACAAATTTGGCTACGTTTACAAGCATTTGGGGCCAGAAGTATTTAGCTTCAATAGCCTTGCGTGTTTTTCTAATACCTAAATGAGAGCCTAAAAGGGGGTTGTTGTGAAAAATTTGGATGATTTTGAGTTGCATTTCACTATCAGGGTTTACTAACAGAGGGCCTTTCTTCGATTTAAAGTAGAAACAATTATTATAAGGTGCGTAATTGTCTAGGGTGTCAGAAAATTCCTGTAAAAGAGTTTCGTCGAACTCTTGTTCTCCGCGCAGAAACTTTATTACAACGTTCCATTTTCATTGAGTTTGTGAACGTCGAGTTGCATCTAAAGTTGGCAGAGAGTTGACCTGTATCGCATTTGTGCAAACGGTGGGGTATCTGCTGAGAAAATCACACAATTGGTTGTGTTTCCCTGCACGATACTCAATTTTACGGTCGTAAGCCTGAATGCTAATTTGGTATTTAGCTAGCCTACCGACCAGATCAGATCGATGCATCAACGATTTGAGAGGAGCATGATCTGTTACCGAAGTTATAGAAGCGTTTGCAATGTACGGATAAAAATGTATTAACGCAAATACGATTGCTAAAGCTTTCAGCTCTATAATGGCGTAGTTTTTCTCATGTTTTGTGAGGGGACGACTACAGTAAGCGATTGGGTGCTCTAGGCTATTTTCCAAATCCTTCTGCAGTAAGCATGCCCCTACGCCAATTGTAGAAGCATCGGTATGAATGATGTATGGTTGTCCTAACGTCGGTGGGACGAGGATTGGTGCCTTTACCAGAGCACGTTTGAGGGTTTCGAACGCTTGCTGATGTTCCTCAGTCCATTTGAATGAAACATCTTTTTGCAAGAGTTCGTTGAGGGGAGTAGCAATAAATGAAAATCGTGGGATGAATCGTCGAAAATATGAAGCCGCTCCAAGAAATGATTTTACGGCCTTAGCGTCGCTTGGCTGCGGTATGTTTATGATACTAGCGACTTTGTCTGGGTTTAATCTAGTGCCTTTTTTACTTATTAAAACTCCAAGGTACTGAACTTCTGCTTTGAAGAATGAACATTTTTCGGGGGTGAGTTTCATTCCAAAATTACGAATCCGTATGAAAACTTCTTCTAAATCTTGAAGGTGTTCTTTGACGGTTTGGCTTGCGATGATTATGTCATCTATGTAGGCAAAACAGCAAGCACGTAATTCGCGTATTAAGGAATTGGCTACTCGTTGAAATGTACCAGGCGCACCTTTTAGGCCTTGTGCCATTACAGTAAATTGGAATAGTCCAAGAAATGATGTAAATGCAGTACGTTCTTTATGTTTAGGTTCTAAAGGAATTTGGAAAAATCCGCTTTTAAAATCAAGAACGCTGTAAAGTTCTTTGCCTCCAACAAGATCTATGATATCTTGTATGTGTGGGATGCAATATGTTTCATTTTCAGTAATGGCATTAATTTGTCTATAGTCAACTGTGAAGCGCCACTGGTCTTTGTTGGATCCTTTCTTAACTAAAACAATGGGCGAAGCAAATTTGCTGGTACTGGGTTCAATGATACGTGTACGCAACATTTCTTCAATTTGGCGTTTAATTTCTTGTCTCTTTTCAAGAGGGACTCTGTAAGGTCTTTGCTGAGGTGCTTTGGCGTGAGGAACGAAATTGATATTATGTGATATAGGACCATTATACCGACCTAAATTACCGTCGGCGCCTACAAAACAAGTTTGATATTTCGCTAATAGGGCGTAAAATTGTAAGATTTGTTGCTGTGAAAGTGATGAACTATCAAACTTGATACGGTCTTGTATGGGAATTACATTATTGGCTGGAAAGTGTGGCATCTGTTTGCTTATACCGACGGGTAGATGCAATGATCTATTCACCAAAACAATGCGCCGTGAATCGGGCGTAGCTGACAAATGTCAGCGCCTTCACGTGCTATATTTTCGTATAGCCAATCTCAGGTTTTGTATGATCATACTTTACCGGTTTTCGCGAGCGAGTCCTTTTAGATTTCATGATGATTATCTGTATTTTAGGGGATAAATCCCGATATGTTAGCTATAATCTCAATTAATATATCCTCATTCATTTAATGCACAAAATAATAGTTAATATTCAATATATTTTCTCTTAATTTAATTACGTAAGTCACGGATCACGGTGAATTTGTAAGCAAATCTACTGTGAACTGCGCTAAAAAAAATAAGTTATGAACTGCGCTCAATTATAAATCAGCACGGAATTTTTTTTTTTCGAAAATATCCGCTCTCTACATGCATGAAATATGTGATTTATTGACCTAAGGTACCCGCCCGCAGGACTTTATGAAGGCAATTCTCAGATTGCTCTAGGTTAATGTTAGAACACACCATTGTCGGTTAGTGGTAATAATATTTAAAAAAAATACTCACATGTCGTTCGAGCTTCCTTGCCATGGTTGAGGAAGGGGGATTGTAAGACGATTGGAAGAAGGGTGGTATGTCGATTGGGAGGAGGGTGGGGGGTGGTGATTTTTTTTTTTTTAAATTTTCAGAGAGAGAGAAAGAAAAAAAAATTTTGTCTATCTGCGGGATGATATCTCCCTGGGACCTCCATATCAGGTTAAAGGGGTGCACAGACCTTTGCCTGATGGTGTAGCGGTGTTATTGTACTGTGTCCAAGACATAAGTAATTATAAATTAGTTTATTATATAAGTTACATAAAAGGAGAGGAAAAGGGGGGAAGGGTAGACTGGTATGAGGATGACCAGCCAGGAGAGGGAGTGTGTGTAAGAGTTATTCATGCTGTCTTTTATACTCGTACAACAGCAACTGTGTCGTAGGCGGGGTGGCGTGTCCAGTAAACAGTGGAAGCATGACGAGGCATAAGATATGGTGAAATGATATCCCGACACGTGCCAAGACCAGCTGAAACATTAATATATGACTCTTCAAACCTTTCCAATTCTGCATGATTTTGACACTTTGCATGATGCTGAAGGTTTGGTGATTTTCTAAAGCTATGAATTCTGTCTGTCCAAATCCACATCCCTTTCTTTGCACACTTTGTAAAATTTGGAAACGAGTACCCGATGAAGGCGTACATCATAACATAGCTGCATTAGATTTGAAGAGTGAAAATAGCATCGAAAAGACTCACCGTTAAATGCGTTTCGTACATTTTCGGCAACATTTATGTCGTATCCACCATTTCCATCGGGTGAATAACCTCTAAAATGTGATATGCATGCGAAGATTGTTGAAAGTGGATAAAATCTACTTTCAGGGCATATTCATGGCTTCAACGGCTGATTACAGGAATAGTACAAAACGAGGAGAAATGTTCTACCTAATTTGTTGTAAATAATACTTTCGTGCCAATGAAAACACCAAGTACAAATTATTATATTGCGTTAATTCTATGAACTCATTGTGCCGAAATTTAGCCTTCAATGTCTTTTACCGATCTTTTGGTACTATTCTGCAGAGCGAGGTTCACCTATTAGGTTGTCTCATAATTTTTTACCGTTTTTACTGCAACCGCCGTCTTTTCGTACCTTTCCTTCATCTGGGCCGGTAGTAGTCTGGTCGAAACTCAGAGTTTAAAGCTGCGCGTTCGTTTTGAAACTCAGAGTTAACTCCGAGTTTCGCTTCTGAAACTCAAAGTTTCGTTCTGCTGCTTGCGGAGCCACTATGGTTGTTGAGGAGCTACTACACGCTTCATCGCAAAACACTCCGACTAGGTCGGGAGTTGAACTTCCGTTACTCGGGCAAAGTGCCTACTACTAGACCACTAGGCTACACAGCACCCTAGCGCCACCGCCATTCTGCCGCCATTAGTATTCGTTGCTTACATCCTACGTGTTCATACACGTCAAGCGGCATGGTGCCTCTTCGCTCTAAGCGGTGGATTCACTAAAATACCTCTACCTCCCCCCTCTCCCAATTGTTTTTATCCCCAGCTGCATTCCTAAATAGGATAGCTAGAGGTGACTGCTTTATTGACAAAACATAATTTAAATGTCAAAATTCAGCTATCTACATGCCCTAATTTTTGCATTCGATATTTGATGATATTCAGTTGTACGTTTATTCGAATACTCATTCGATCAAGTTCGGTTACTCGAATAATCGAAAGTTCGAATTTTGGAATGTGCTCATATTCGAGTAATCAAATTCGAATAATATAAAAATCGGAAATTGAGTAATATTCTTTCATTTGGAAATGTTTAAATTCAATTACTCGCTATTCATTTGTTCGATGAAATTTCAAAGGTATCATTCGATATTTGTTCATTCGATGAAAACTTACGTTCGTTACAACTATATCACAAAGTGGCAAAAAGCATAGTTAATTTGATTTCGGTGAAAAAAGCTCTTGCGAAAATCTGTTACATTTACATTTCTGGAGAAGAAGGTGTTTGGGACTATATATTAGTTTCTCATTGCTGGTAGTTGTATGGTTGAAAAGGCATGCGAAAATGGTATTGAAGTTCAAGTAGACAGAGACATTTGCGGCATCAAGGGTCGTTCTATAAAACCACTTAGGGTGCATGTGTTTTTTAAATATGGATGAGACTTGACTTATGGTTTTAATTTCACAGCGCACGCAGCTGCTTAGAAGATGGAATACGGCACTGATGGCTGGCTGCTGAAAACCATGATTTGCATTTTCATGCAAATTGATTAGCATATTCATAATTAGCATGGCAAATAACCCCACCACACCAAGTTTCAGCGAATTTTGTGATCTTCGACCAGCTACCGTATAGCTACCGTAACCCCGCTATATGGACCCGCAATCACAAGTGAATAACATATTCGTGATCAGCGTGCCAAAAAACCCCATCGTACCAAGTTTCAAGCAATTTTGTGACTTTCGCCCAACTACCGTATACCTACCGTAATCCCGCTCCGTGGCCCCGTAGCGAAAAACGAATGTTATATTCGTGATCAGCATGCGAAATAACCCCAGTGTACCAAGTTTCAGCAAATGTCGTGATTTTTGCCCAACTACCGTATTCCTACCGTAACCTCGGTATGTGGGCGAATGGCGAAAAATGAGCATCGGATTCGTGATCAGCACGTCCGATAGCCCCCGGGACCAAAATTTTACAAGATTTCAAATTTTTGTGTTCAACGGTCCACCATGATACCCCCCCCCCCCATCATGCTTCATGAAACTCAGAGCAAAATCTACCCCGGAGGACTTTTTTCTGGACCTCTGCGTTTACGCACTATTTCTCTTTCTCTAACCAAACTCAGAGTTAACTCCGAGTTTCGCGGGCGGCTGAAACTCGCAGCAAACTCAGAGTTAACGCGCAGCTGAGCTGCGCGTTAACTCGCGTAGCGTCTCACATGGAACGAGTTACGCTACGTTTCCATACTTGGCATAAAGTACGTGTTGCGGGGTATCCTGCCGTATCACCCTTTCCCCAATTTGGTTTGTTTATGCAGGTGTTAATGGTCCCCGAAAGGTGCGCGTTAAGTCAGAGTCAACTCTGAGTTAACTCTGAGTTTGAGCTGCGCGTTTTGACAGGTTTACTACCTGCCCTGATGTGGCTTGCTTAATCATTCGACAGTGCAAAGCAAGCTCTACAAGATGGCTATCAAAAGTCTGCACAAGTCATATCCCACGTGAAGTTTTGAGCTAAAATCTGATAGTAGTTGAAAACGATTTTGTGTCAAAAATCGTATCTCCGCTCCAAAGTATCTAAAATAATTCCCCATTCTTTTTAGCATATGCTTGACACATCGCACATCCGATTGCACACTTTCCGAATTTTTTCCATGGCTAGAAATAAAGGAAAAAAATGAAAGAGGCAAAATGGCAAACTCCGCCCCCAGACGCCCTGAGGTCCTCCCACGCATATGATCATACAGCTCATACAGAACGAATCACCATTCACTCTTCAATACATGTAGGATTAGGGTAGGGTAGAGTAGTATGGCACTTTCAGCATGCAACGTCACTGTAGAGTAGGCCTTCTGATGAAAAAATCCAAAAAGAAAATTGGGCAGCAAGGTTTTCAGGCGTGCTGATTTCAGTAGACAGCTTCTTACCAGGTTTTCGAGTATTTTAGTGGTGTAATCGCATTTCTGGCGAACACTAGAATTGCAGTTGTTACCCTAAAAACTTATAAAAGAAGCATTACAGTGAAGTGCAAATCTCATAATTGTAATAAGTGACTTCGAATAGTCCAGGACAAGAGTTTCTGGCTTGTTTGGCTTTCTTTCTGAGGTAAAATACCGCTTTTAATGGCTTGAAATCTTTCGCGAAATTCCTACTATAATCCCACAGTAATGAAAGGCGATTAATGTCGCTCCATACTGCAAATCTAAATCAACCCCACTCTATAGAATGGTTGCTCAAGCTCGGCGAAAGACATGGAAGCAAGCGAGTTATTAACGATTAACAGTGTGCACATCTTTCTGGGGCACCTTGTATGATTCTTTCCGTATTGCATTCATCGACAATAGACTCGTCGCCCTTCTGCAAGACGGCATAAGCCCTGAAGGTAACTAAGTCGCCTCAGTCGTCCTGGGACCACTCCTGCTGTCCCATTGCCAGCTCATGGCTATGAAGTGTCTGACAAGCGAGGGTCACGAAGTTAAAGAAAGTGGCTCGGGAAAATCGCGACTGGGGGCTTTTCACAACTACATGGCCTTCCGGGCCAGCTGAGTCAAGTACTTTGCTTAAATGTCAAAAAGTGCTTTTTTAAAGTTTACCGGCCTTGCAGATTTCTGGAGAGGCGAGGCGAGGGATTCCCGCCATAACCAGCAAGTGACTGCAGGATACTGTAACTTCACCTATTTTGGCGGCAATTGGCTGATCAGCCCAGGCAATCATACGATACCGTTGACTAATTTCTCGCCCCGCCTCTCAAGCAATCTCCAAAGTCGGAAAACGCCAAAAAGCATCTCTTGACTTTCCAAGCGCAATACGTGACTCAGCTGGTCCAGAAAGCTTTAGTTGTGCAAATCCCCCACTCGCGATTTTCCCGAGCCACTGTCTTTGTGGCCGATCACTGCGATGTGCGTACAATTAGTGAGAGCTTGTAGAGCCGATTTCAAATCTGCTTTCCATATCTGCATAGCGCTTTTAAGAAAGAAGCTATGGTAATTTTTTGAAGCGAAAATTGAACTAAGGGGTGGGGTAAAATCGATCATTATAGCCTTGTTGGACGTCAAATGGAGCAACAGGCAACGTTGTTATGCTAAACAAACGCAAGTCATTGTAAAAGGTAGCCTGGCGCTTGCCGCTGCTTCATTTGAGGTCTAGAAGGGCTTAAACGTTTGACTTTAACCCAGCCCTTAGCTCGCTCATAATTTCTTTCTCAGAAGTGCTCTGCAGATAAGGAGAGCAGATCTGGAATCAGCGTTCCAAGCTTTCACTAATAGTATGCATCTTGTGATGATCGGCCGCCTCGACTCATGACTTATCCTGGGGGCTTTCTTTCCTTCCAGGCTGGTTCTTCTTTTGTCTTCATCAGTCTTCTCCTATTACATTCAACAGAAATATAGAGCGCTGATGACTCTCGGTTTTGCTATTTTATTGGAGGTCACTGAACAAGATGTCTTTTGTATCGGCGAAATATTCACCATCTTGATCGCGAACTGGAGTCGAGCGGCTATTGGGCGTGGAAGGGGTCTTTAGTTAGATTTGAAAACGATATAAAGAGGCAATTTTGCCATTGCTGTATATTTCGGACATGATGATTAAGGGCTTGTCGATTATAGTGCGGGTGCACCAACATCTCTCTCCCGCTGGTCGCCTCGCCTGGACTCTGCAACTCTTTCGCAATTATGCTCTCTAATCACTTTCCCCGCGAGCGTGGGAATGGCGGAGCCTCACCTATTGGCGTATGATTAAATAGCATGTTCGCGGAAGAAACGCAGAGTCCAGCGCGGGTGTGGAGATGCTGGTGCACCCAACATTGCGATTGATAAGCCCTATACAGTAACAGCCAAAAAGTTGCGGACAAACCCCTCTCCCTTTTTCATCGCTCTTTTTCAGAGGGAAAACAAGGATGAAAAAATGTAATAATTGCATGAGGTGATAGAGCTCTTTGAGATCTACAGTATACATTTTGAGCTTTTTGAGAAACATGTGTTCTAAAAATCTTAAGAATCCTCTTCTAAAAAAAGTCCGAAAATGGCCGCGTCACAATGTCGCGGACAATAATTCTTCGAACGCAAAAATTTCCTTCTGAGTCCTATTTTGAAGCGGAAACACAAGTTATCCGGACGGTAAGCATACTACTATATAGAGCTCGTCAAGAACTACACACTGGTTATGGTTGCTTCCCCAAAAAACGCAAGCTTGAGTTTTATTTTGCTTTTTTTAAAAAATAACTTTTAATTTCCTCTATCAAGCCAAAATTCTTCACACGGAAACCTGTTCAAGACATCCCAACAAAGCCGTCTGGATAAAAAAGATGCTCTTTGCCACAGTCCGAATCTGCCAGAGTCGCGCCGGACCCAGTTGACCACTGAGAGCGGGGCAAATGGGTGGTCCGTCGCGGTGACATCACTGGCAGGCAAATGGGACGCTTCTCCGGCCCTGCTGCAAAGGTACGCCATTTCTCCGGCGCGGCTCTGCCAGATTTGGCAGAGCCGCGCCGGAGAAAATGGGAGGGGTCCGGAGCAGAAAATGGGAGGTATCCGGAGCAGAATTTGGGAGGTATCCGGAGCAGAAAATGGGAGGTCTCCGGAGCAGAAATGGGAGGGCTCCGGCGGACGAGTGGCAGACCCACCGCTGGGGAAACGCCGCGACCCTGCCATTTCTCCGGCGGAGGGGTCCTATCCGCTGTCTGAGTCTCTTCAACTTTAGCTGGAAAGTGCTTAGACTACAAGTGAAGCTGCCCCCTACCACCCCATCCACCTCTCAGAAATTTCTCAAACTCAATCGTTTGCATATCATCGTGTCCAGGAAGTCACGCTCTTTCGAATGAGTCTACTTACAGGCTCAAATATTGACTGCAGGCCGAGTTACAAGCCTGCAAAGCGGTACAAGTCAGTGGCGAAATGCAGGTAGGGTCATGTGCAAGCATTGCCAAGGGGCATTTTTAGCAAAGAAACTCATCAGCACATGTCCGATGCATAGAGTATGACAAAGAGCATCTATTTTATCCAGACGGCTTCGTTGGGATGTCTTGAACAGGTCTCCGTGTGAAGAAATTTGGCTTGATAGAGGAAATTAGAAGTTATTTTTTGGAAAGAAGCAAAATAAAATTCAAGCTCGGGTTTTTTTTGGAAGTAACCACTACTCGATTATTGTCCTCGATAAGTTCTACAATATAGTATGCTTACCTGTCCGGAGAACTTTTGTTTTGCTGCAAAAAAGACTTAAAAGAAAATTTTCGCGTTTGAAGAATTATTGTCCGCGACATTGTGACGCGGCCATTTGCGGACTTTTCTTAGAAAAGGATTCTTAAAATATTTAGAACACATGTTTCTTAAAAAGCTCAAAGTGAAGATTGTAGATCTTGAAGAGCTCTATCACCTCATGCAATTATTACATTTTTTCATCCTTGTTTTCCCTCGAAAAAGAGCGATGAAAAAGGGAGAGGGGTTTGTCCGCAACTTTTTGGCGGTCACTGTATATAGTACTTCTCGGGATTCAATACTCTGAGATTATGATGGAGCACCGTCTTTGGACTAAGGGCAGGCAACGTTTCATGTTCGAAATGTTTTTCACCTACTGTAGAATACTATTGTTTTGCTATATGTTATAACAATTATCATATCGTTTTTGAATAAATTTGCATTTTTTGACAAAGCTCCATATCCGTAAGAATGAAGGTTTCGCGATCGCATTCGATGCAGTGTTCCACCATCTTTCTGATGTTATGCTATTCGGCTGTTTATTAGAGCTCTTGAGAAATTATTAAAGTCTGGATCCTTGTCTCGACATCTTCAATGTTGCTAATTTTACATCAATCAGTTTTTGAGCTGGCCCTTTAAAGGTCTCGAAGGGTGCCTTGAAACCGCGCCGGCAGCCGCCGCTAGCCGCCCGTAGCCGCTTTAGCGCCCTATCCCAGTATTCCAAGGCCTTTCCAAAACGTAGAAAGATTAAGTTATTCGTAATCAGCATATTTTGAACAACCCCATCAAACCAATAAGTACATCATGGTTTTTATTTTAAGATGCGGATACTGGGAAGTGCACAAAAGCGGCTAGCGGCGGCTGTCGGCGCGGTATGAAGGCACCCGAATAGGACGAATAGACAAACATGGAGGACTAACAGCTTCTCAAGTTTTTTCTAGGAGCTCTCATATGTGAGAGCTGGCCCCTTAGAGCGAAAGCCAGTTGCGAAGATGCGAAAAGGTGCAAATTTTGAGCCGTTTGTCTCGAGAGCGCGAAAGTCTAGCGTAACTAGTCAGGTCTTACCTTATAAACACCACTTGATACTTGTTGATTCTCATGCACATAAACGCAGACTGAGTGGTGAGAGTGTCGACATCCAAAGCGTAGGAGGTTTGTGCCTTAAGTAAATCTAAATTAGATTTCGCAGAAGTGAGAAGTATACAGTTACCAAGCTTTGGCTGTTTGTGTGGAGTGGAAGAACTACGACCAAGATGGAAAAGGCGCTGAGAAGCATATCTAAAGATGATTTCTGCACTACAAATCATGAAAAGGTAAGGAAGAAAATAAGGCGCATTGACAACAACAAAATTCTAATAGGGCTTTCTGTCCGTAACAGGCACGTAGTAAGAAACAACCTAAAATCGGTTCGATGGAAGACAAGGGAGAAGCTCGGGCATGTTACAGAAGGCACTTTTCTGAAGTAGGTAACCAGTAAAGGATGTGAACGTTCAGTTATCAGAATTTTATGCGAGTGCCAGTTTTTTCATATAAACGATGTGTGATAAGGCGTGAATGAGTTTGCCGGAAACTGATAAGCTTTACACCAACGCAGCAAAATTTGTCACCTTTGAAATAACACCATTTCGTGCATCGACTATATTTTGGTCATTTGACACTTAACAAACTTCTCCGTATACGTTCCTATGCAGTAAAAATCAGCCAGCATCACAGATTATGTGCTCTTTTTCCCAAAAGAAAATTTCGAGAAATATTATTGTTATACTACTACATATGAAAATTTCGGCTTTAGGGCCGCATGCACTAACATCCCCGCGGGGAGGGGATCGCAGCTTAAAAGAAAGCTTTATATTTCGAAACTCCAAATACCTGGATTTCACGTTGTGTACCTATCCGTAAGTATTCCTACTACCCTTCACTATGAACATGTTGAACAGGAGCGAGAAGCTGTACAAACCGCATTTTTCAGTTTTTGTACGATCCCTGATGATCCCTGGCGCTTTTCTTTAAAGTCATTTTTCTTTCTCCGAAGTTAACGAAAAACCTCCAAAGTTGTGCAGATTGTCTAACCAGGCAGTGCTAAGCATGTTGCTGATAAGAACAAATGATGTTTTGAAGTCACGAAATTATCGATGATCCACACGTCGAAATTTGAGGTTTACCGAAAAATTCGACTTTTCAAAAACTCATTTGTTCTCATCAGCAACATGCTTAGCACTGTTTTGTTAGATGTTCAGTACAACTTTGGAAGGTTTTCGTTAACTTCGGAGAAAGAAAAATGACTCTAAGGAAAAGCGCCGGGGATCATCAGGGATCATACAAGAGCTGGAAAATGCGGTTTGTACAGCTTCTCGCTCCTGTTCAACATGTTCATAGTGAAGGGTAGTAGGAATACTTACGGATAGGTACACAACGTGAAATCCAGATATCTGGAGCTTCAGAGTATGAAACTTTCTTTTAAGCTGCAATCCCCTCCCCAGCGGGGAGGTTAGTGCATGCGGCCCTTAGTTTCGTACCAGTGGCGGACCGAGGGGGAGGGAGGGGGAGGGAGGGGGAGGGAGGGGGGGGGGGGAGAAGGAGGGTGCCCCTTCCCTCTAATAGAAAAAAAAATGTCGCGATGTTTCTGAAATTTACCTACATGAGTTACAAAAATGTGCAGGTGACTTGTTCATTCTTGTAAATAATAAAAATGATTTTTAAAACTTCAAAAAATCCAAATTAGCCTCGTAGATTGATTCTTTGGGGGAGGGGGATGGCTGCTGTTATGCCCCCTTTTTTCTGGATTTTAGGGGTATTTTGAGAAGCACTCCAAAAATTTTTTTGGAGTGCGTGGCTAATGGGACGAACCTTTATTTGGAAATTTTTTTTTGCCGCCCTCGGACGAAAATCCTGCGATCACCGCTATCGTACCCTCATTATTATTTCCACATAGCTTACACAAAAATTCAAGGTGCTCACAGAATGGTCAAAACTCGAAGTGGCAATCCAAACAAGCTGGACACCAAGGTGCAGCATAAAACGTGACTTCAAATTTGTAATCCATATCCGGCTTAGAGCATGTGAGGGCGAAGTTATGAGCCGTTAGAGACCGTTTTGGCTGAAGAATCGTGCACGCAAGGCGCAAATTTGGCAGTACAGAGTTATGTTAGGCTCAGTGCTGGACCTAACCTACAGCTACTCAGACAATTATTGCGACCACCCGCGGAAGGGCCCCCGCCGACGTTTCATCCATGCCGCGGGTGGTAGAATAAACGCACGCTAAGCGGCCGAGAGTTACCCGCGGATGCGCCGGTAAGCGCTTGAACGACGCCCGCGGATGTCCAGACAGGCACCCGACAGATGCGCGATATGCATCTGCGGGTGGCCCGATAGGCGGTTGCTAAACGCAGTAATGTACATTTATTTCATTTTTTGAATACACCTGTTTCCATTTCCCTCGCCTTTGCACATGGGTCAGGGTACGCGCCAAAATTTGTCTTCCGTCGTAGGGCCCAGGTTCCAGCTGCAGGGTAACCCTGGGAGAGGACCCTCAGTAGAGCGTCTTTACTACTAGCCACATTTCCAGTGAGCGATAAGCAACAAGCTAAACGTTGAGGGTACCTCTATCTGGCGGCGTATCTCACGCGAGTAACGTTTTTGCTTACAGCATGTAAGAATTGGGGCGTGGCAAGGCCCGCGGCTCGCCAGACTGATTCTGTTGGGCCGTTGCCTAGAAGGGCCGGGGCCTGCCCGAAAATGACGTTAAAGGCGCCCATTAAGGCCCGCGGCATAACCGAGATACGATATGAGCGGTGTCCGACAAGGGCCGAGGCTTGCCCGGTGCAGAAACTATATTAAGGCCCGCGGCTTGTCCGAAAACCAAATATGTAGTGCTTTCAATAAGGTCCGTGGCCCGCCCGAGTCTTTTTTCCCGGGCCGCGGGTGTCCCGGTAGAAGAATCAAAACCCGCGGCCTTTACCTAGCGAAAATATTGGGCCGCGGGTCGCCAAGCAAATGAGTCAAGGGCCGCGGATGGTCAGTATGAAAATTCAACGCCCGCGCGCCAGCAAAAGACACTATTAAGGGCCGCGGATGCTCGTAATAATTGTCTGAGTAGGTTATTTTATACTCTTAGGGGCGGCGTCCAGCTAAATTATGGGGATTCACGTGGAAATTAATTTTGAGGGCAGGTAATGCTCTAACGGCTGAGATATTCTCCTTGAAACTGTATCCCAGGATCGTATTTCGCATGGATTCACGGCGACCCATCAGTTTCGCGTGGGTCCACCCATCAGTTTGCGTGGGTCCTCGCGCGAAACTAGTGGGTTGCGCCATGAATCCATGCGAAACTGATACGATCTTGAGTCTAGTTTGGAGGCATATATCTCAGCCATTAGTGAGTCATCTGCGCTGCTGCTTGGGTCGTGCCTTAGTTAGGGCCCCAAAACTACTCTCCACGTAAAGTCCCCATAGATCCAGATTTGCTTAAACGCTGCCTTTGAAGCCTAATGGTGAGCTAAAACTGCAGAAATGTGCTCAATTTCGCAATTTTTGTGTATGATTTTTTCGCAATAAATCTGCTCAAGACTTCGTCGGCAAAGGCGCTTAACAGATAAGGAACACAGATTCGAAATCAGTGTTGAATGCTGCATCCGGATAGGCAGCTTGCCTGGATTAGCTACTTCGACTTCTGACAATTCCCTCGTCAGTGTAGTATGTAATATAAATATTTTGTTCCCGTTTGCTTTGGTCTTATGTTTGTTATAGTCGTCCTCACCCACTAGCCGCTCAGTGGTCAAACTTGAATTTGAACTAGAGCATGCCGGCTGTGGTAGAGCGCGGCACCCGCAGCCCTCGGTTCAAAATCAGTCATGTTTTCTTCCGTTTTCTTCGTCGTCTCACACGATTTTTTGTATTTCAACAACGTTTTTTTAATGTTTCTTGTTGCGGAGCGATGTTTCAAATTGCTTTTGTCTACTCTTCTCGTTTTTCAATTCGTAAACTTGGAGACGATGCTGGTAGGATTTTGTGACATAAAATTCGCAAACAAACTCCAGTATATGCTACTTACCAAACAAGAATTTGCGGGCAAGAATTTCCTATCTTCACCAATTCTTACCTGTGAGCAGAGTTGGTGAAACGAGCTTAGATGTATGAAACATCGCTCAATAACAATAGAGTCGCAAATTTTGATCACGAACATTGTTGAAACCCAAAACTAGCCTGACGACAAAAGCAAAAACACGCGTAAGCTTTAACTGAGGATGGCGACGCCGGACTCTACCACAACCGGTCTGTTCTAGTTCAAATTCGAATTTGACAACCGAGCGACTAATGGGTTGAGGAGGACTATACCTTCCTGGATAGGCTGCAAATGAGACTGGCAAAGTCTACGTAACGGTCACATTCTAGATAGCGACTGGGATGATGTGCTACAAAAGACGGATTATAGTGTACCGTTAAAATACTTTGAAATAATTGAAGAAAAGAAAGAGCAGGTATGACACTATGATAAGAGCTGGACGGCAAAGTACTTAAGACGACTGAAGCGTGTTATCAGAGGTAATGCCACAAAACATTGGGCTCTTTGTAAAATCTTCGAAAAAAGGTGAGAACAGCGTCTTTTTTTGAAATTTTATCTGCACTGTCGGAAAATTAGTACTCTCGAGAATCAGGACATTTTACTTTTAATAGGAGATGCGTAACCGTAGTGAGTCGACAAAATTGTTCAGTAATCAATTAATAATACGTGAAGCATTTGATCACAATCATGACTGTCTTCTTCTGTTTATGTTTCAAAATCCTTTAGTGGCTGCCTCATAGTCCTTTGTAAATGACTCCAAATACGGATCCACAACATCGTCAAGATATTTAGCTTTTTTCAAATACAATAATAGCACTTGATGCACATAGAGATACTGTTGCTCTGTCTGCAATGCTTTTATCAGGATAGCTAGAGAATAGGTACCGAATGCCAATCAGTGCAATCTTTCTATGAAGAATATGACTCGCTATCTACTCTTCCTCTTCATTAGTAACAAAATTTGAATCTGCAACTTTTTCTCTCAAGCCACTCAAATCACAGAATAGTCTCTACTATTGCAACTTGCGAACTCATTAAGCCTACCTGGATGCTGTTGTTCCGTTGCTTACGCAATTCCAGTAGGTAGCCATTAATCTCAAGCAATGGTTCGTTGTTGTGCAATAATTCCATAGCATGCTCAATCAGCACCATACAGCCAGTGCGACCAATGCCAGCGGAGCAATGGACAATGATGGGAGCTCTAGAAGTTGATTATTTCGATGCGTGAAAGAAATGCAGAAAAGTTTCTGTAAGACTAATTAATGCGACTGACGTGCTTTCCTTCAACTTCGCTAAAAGAGCTATTGGAGCCAAATCAGCTTCAGGTACACCACGGTCCGGCCAATCGACCCACTGATAGTGATCGCATTCATGCATTGGTTGGCCACTGACGTTGACTTCCAAGTGAGTCACTCGAATTTTCACTTTTGTTTCCATGGGGAATGGGAACTAAAACAGCACTTTTCTTTATTTGGTGCGCTGAGCGTTAGTCTTTGTTCTCACATCATCCTGCCCTTTGCACGTTACGCTTACGCCATCATCAAACTGGAGAGTTTGTCCTTCTTGAGTAGGGTAGTATTCCGCACATTTTTTTGCGTTCTATAAAGCAAAACTCGGAATGAATGAAGATGTGGATTACTTCGTTAACCTGCTCGACGAAATTGCATAGCATCAAAACAGAGGAAGATTTTTCTTGTACTACCATACACCAAAATTCGGGGCACGTCTTTGGGAGCGGAGCCTACATAAGCAAATTTTCTCTTGGAGATACTATGAGAGGAATAAGGAAAGGCCTTGGGCTTTTGCACATGCATTTCTAAACAGGTGTACAAGCTTCACCTTGTTTGCTCTAAACGCGAGCAGACAAGGGTGCATCTTTGCGCATGCGCCTCGCATAGGATTGAGCCAGATAGCGCAGCGTACATACACGATGTACACACACGTGCTTAAAGAAATGAAGCGCACGCTGCGTATGTCGCCGCGTACGCCGCGTAGGCCGCATAGTTTGGCCCAACCCGAACCAATCGCTCCACCCAATCTTGTCAACTCGCACCATGTAAAAACCAAGCATTCAGACGTGTTCGCATTTGGAGCAATTCGAGTAAAGACTTGTACACTTGAGAGTAGGATGCTTGTATTCAATAGTGATGTACTGGTTGATTTGCTATGCTTCAATAGCACTTGCCTGAGTGCAAATAAACCTTTTTGAATTATTCGGTGTTGAAACGTAATTTGCATGTATATAAGACGTGCTGCCAATGTTTAGCACTACCCGACGATTATCCAAGCATCCAACATCCTGCACAAATTGCGAAATAAGGTTCACAGGCAAATAAGAACTCGCAGCAACCTTATATCGATTTCTTCCATTTGGAATTTCCGCTACGAATGCTGTCATTACCGTGAAATCATTGCTACGTTTCATGCCTTTGAATTCTGCTACTAATCCTTTAACACCTTTCTTCAGGGTTTCTTCCACAAACACTTTTACCTTAACCAAAAAACAATTGCTCAGGGTAGTAACATCGTAGCTCCCAAAATGTCTGAACGCTACGAATCATCGCCACCATTACTGTTCGGGAAAACAAGTTTGGAATTCATGTTCAAAATGTACTATGATAGTGCTCTGCTTACACTGGATGATTTCGGGACACGCAAACCCTATGAGCACTATAAAAGATCCCAAGGCAAACTTTAAAGATGGTTGCATCTCAATACGGTGTCTAAAAAAGCTAACTTGAGCGTTCGATGTCTTATAGTTTGATTCACTGTGACGTGGACAATCTTCGAAATACCTTTTCAAGTTGATACTTAAAAATTTTTCTGGGATTTTTTATCAAAAAGCAGCGCACTGGAATTTTAGTTGTTGAAGGGCTCTATCATGGAGGTTTTGAATTGTTTCCAGTATACTTGTTCATCGTGAAAATGAGCGATGGAAGGGAAAATGTGAAACTTCTAGATCACTTTGCCTCTGGCACAAGATTTTTTCACCTGTAAACGTTTTGCCTTTCTCGCTTCGCGCTTTTCTGCCTCAGCATCTGCCTGAATTGCTGAACGGGTCGATCTATAAAAGAGCAATATGTGCATGCTTCTCGAAACAAGAAAATGGGTAAATTTGAGGAGGATGCAGACTTGTGGACTTACGTCTCGTTTTGCACCATTGCCGTTTTGCAATCATCGCTAAAATAAATTGAAGCACAATCAGAATTTCCATACCAACGTCCTCACCTACTCCCGCAACGGAATTTGTCTTATTTTTTTGTGAAGGGGGATATATAAATGTCAGAAAGCCTACGAAGCAAATCCATGTTAAAATGAGTTTTGAGTATTCGTTCTCGACTGCGAAACCTGGACTCTAATTGCTATAAGGAATTGGATGTTTGTGTGCCCAATTGGTATACAGTATGGCGGTTCTCCTTCAGTGTAGAACGCTTAACTGGTGATAAGCAATGACTCGACCCCCTTTTGCCTGCCCCCCCCCCCCCAGAACGATATCCTCTTTGCTTTTTTTCTCAAAACGACTTCCAGCTTGCCATTTGGCCACCTCGTGCGGACCCTGTATGAGTGGCAGGTTGAATAGCTTCTATTATGTCGCAACTGATCCATCAAGAAAGAAAGAAGAGCTGAGAGCTGGTTCACAAGGACAGAGAGCCTGCGAAATGTGAAACTTGGAGCTCTGCGCGAGAAATATCTAATTAAAAGAAACCCAAGCCAAGCTATAACGGGCATGGTTTTTCAGGTTAGACTATAGACATATGCTGTAGTTCAACATTTCATCAGTGGTGTTCCCAAAACCTCCGTTTAAGGCCGGAAGGGGGAGAGGATTTAATAGCCCTTGTAACCAACTTTCAGAAATTTCACCACTCGGTCTGCCACTACAATTCATTTATAACGAGAACCTTCAGTCGTTTAACTTGCATAAGTTATGAATTTTTTGATCATTGGAGATATTTTGGCATAGGAAGTTCATGGGCCGCATTTGCAAAGTCACTGTGACAACGGGAGTTATGAGATGAGAACCGAGGCTGCGTTCATATTGATTGCGAAATCCGGGAACAGCCACGTTGCTACCTCATGCAATTGCGAAAATTCTATCGTTGGCGACTTGGTAGATGTTAGGGTGCCTCCATACCGCGCCGGCAGCCGCCGCTAGCAGCCCATAGCAGCTGCCAGCAGCCCGTAGAAGCCCATAGCCGCCGCTGGCCGACTTTGTTATAAGCAAAATCGCCAAAATCTTACTACTTTAAGTGCTCCTGCTTACGCTTTTCATCTTCTACGCTTATCTCCTATTGCCTCTAATATGCAGTTCAACTCCCCCACAATACATTTGTGTTCATTATTCTATTCCGCACATTGTATCCTACTGCGCTCACATTCTTTTACATTCTGTCTTACTCAAAAAGATGTGAGCGATTATCAAAGCCAGAAGAACTCAACCCGCAAATAAATCCCGGCGAACTTGCGAAATAGTAGAATGCAAATTAGATATGCACCGATAGCCAAGAAAAAATTGAAGCAAAAGCATACTCAAAAAACAAATTGCACACCAGCAGGAAGCGGACGCATCCAATCTGCGAACTATGGTTCAACAGGATGACCATGCGGCGAGAAGGTAATGACAACACTGGATACATACATGATATGTGATCAAACTACTTACTGGCAACAACAAAAGAAAAGCGTAGAAGATGAAAAACGTAGACAAGAGCACTCAAAGTTGTAAGATTATGATAATTTTGCTTATATAGCGAAAGCGGCCAGCGGCGGCTACGGGCTGCTATGGGCTGCTAGGTGCTGGCGGCTGCTACGGGCTATTGGCGGCTGCTGGCGGCTGCTATGGGCTGTTAGCGGCGGTTCCCGGCGCGGTATGAAGGCACTCTTACTGATCCATCCGCGCAGATCTGGAGCGCACAGACGCACACCTTTCATAAGTAATGCAAGCGTATCGAATCTTGCTTACCGAAAGTGCGCTTACGGAAAGTTATGAGCCATCTTCGTGCGGCACCGCAATCGACGTGCGAGCTATGGGCTGAATTAGTCTGCGTGCGTATGCCCATATTTTTATGCACGTGTGCGTATGCTTCGTACTTCGTGCAGTCTTGTCCAATTGTACTTCACATCATTAGTAGCCAAGCAATTTGTAAATTTGCCAGATTTTCAAATCCAACGCTGGCCGACTTTTTCTCAAGGAATATAAATGGCATAATTCGGCGTCCTTTCTCGTACTACCGAGACCCAGACGATGAAATCGCAGGTATGCAATTGCTTGAACAATGCCTTAAACCTCGTAAATATTGCCGTACATGCTGTGCATTTATGACTCTCATCGACTGCTGAAATTGAAATACTTTATTTGGTGCATACCATAATTCACTGAGCTATAAACAGTTCAAATGTTGCCACTTCACGTCGTGAATTCGGCCTGAGGTATGCTCGTAGCTTTTGGCAGGCCAGACTTATTCGCCTCATCCTCTTCGCTGAATCAAATCAGGAAGTGGATAAATGCTAAGCGGTTAAGCGAATAGGTCTGGCTCCTGCACCAACATGGAGGGCCGCCTTCTTACTCTACAAGGGTTCATGCATGTGATCTGATAGATAAATATTGCAAAAGCTTCGAAAGTACTCTCTTATTAAAGCATATACTGGACCGTGCCCTCACGGTGATTTTGTGATAAAGAAGGGTTAGTCATTCAGCTTAAGGCAAAACTGGCGCAAACACGCTTTCTGCCCTTTTTGGGCAATGGTATCTGGGATAAGCTGCACACAATATTCCACGACTCATACAGCGGCTCTCAAACGTCAGTTTTGGTTGAAATTTTATATGATCAAGGCTTACCTTGGCTCCCTTTTCTTCTTAGCAGAAACATTCGACTTTTTCTTTTTTTGCCTCACGATTTGTAGTTTCTTACTTTCTCTTAACATTATGAGAATTCATATTCGTAAACGCTTATGTGAAAAGGGACATACTCGCTTGTGTCTCGCTCTGAAATGGAGTCTTGATTAGTACAACTGTCTCATCTTCATATCGGTGTAGATATGTGACCAACTTCCACAAAATTTCTTCAGAGCACTCTTAGGCGTCTTCGCTCACAGCTAGACCAGAGAAGAAAATTCGCGGGGCAAGTGTGAAGGGAAAAGCCGACACCCATAATTCCCACTAGCCCTACATCTACTTCTCTTCGAAGCAGCACTAGTGCTGTAAGGGATTGCACTACGACTCTACGTCTGTTTGCATTTTGTTGGGCAGAAGACTATGCTGCGTTCATACAGATCCCGAAGTTCGGGAACAGTTCCAGCACAGCGCTCAGTTTGAGCGTCGTGGAACTGTTCCCGAACTCCCGGTTCAGTATAACACAGCCTATATGTTGACGATAGGCTCCATCCTGCGCAAACAGCTGGTGCACTTAGAGTGTTCATAATATGTGGAGTGCGCGGTCTGTTGCAGATGTCCGCGTGGGACCACCCCTTTCGGTGACATATAGCCCCTCCCCCATTTTGTGCCACTTTAACCAGCATCGTTAGCGTTGAAAACGCTGGCTTTGACAACTTATCTTTTGTTATTGCGGCAAAGACCGTCAACAAAATAACGTTTATGAAATTCTTGATACAGAAGAAGACCTATTTTTTGAATCGAAGATCCTGAGAGAGTTGGCATTGTACAAAGCTTCCTCCACTTAGTCTTCACGGTGCCTGTGGTGCCGATCAAAAAGTTGGTCTTTGTATACATACCAGTGCTCCACCTCTGCTTCACAGAGGTTCGCACAGGCATGTAACTGGTCACACTGGCCATCATGAAAGGTATTAGGTAAGCTTATGTAATGAAATTGACTCTCCAAGCATTCTTCAAGAGAGACCGCCAAGTATTCACAAAAATGAAACTTTGTTATGGGTTCTTTGATGCATCAGCAATGTATTTTTTGCTAAGGAAAAATAGTTGAACAATATTTTTGTGGGTGCTATTAGCGCCATTCTCCTAACTGAATATATGCTCATTTTTCCGTTGAACATTTATCGTCGAAATCCCAGATATCTACACTCTTAAAACTTTTGCAATGTTTTTCTTTTCTGTAGTCGCTACTCATTCCTATAGAGAAACAGAACTGGTAGGTCCCATCGTGACTTCAATAAGCGCTTAATCCGGCTGTGTCGAATTTGGCCGTTACGAAATTACAGTGAGGAATGATCATGCCTATATAATAGCGGGCTAAGGGTTGTTTACGTCTGTTTGCCTGTCTGAATATCCGTCTATCACGAAATTCATAGAATGAGTTGCAGCAAAGCTTTTGAGCTAGAATCTTGGTCATAGCACCCTGTCTGCGTGTAGGCAAACTGTGCAAAAGCATGAGCCGATCCACTGAGTGGGACCATTGGAAACTGTTCCTCAAACGGATCCACGCGACTCTTAGCCCGCCAAAGTGGGTCGGTAATAGGATTTTTCGCAAGGTCGTGGATTTGTTTAACAAGCATATCATTGACTTCAGCTTAAAAAGTAAGCAAAAAGTCCATTTTTACGCAAAATTGGTGCCAAGAAGAAATATTTGCATATATGGTAGATTTGAAATGTTCTATCCACGGATTTGCGGAAATTTCTGCACAGACATGTAATACAAAACTGGCATTGTCTTTATGGCAAAATCAAGAAAAATAACGTCAGTAACTGATCCAGTTTCGCATTTAATCTTTTGGAGGACACTTTCTTCCTCCCAAGTCACCGATCTTACATGAAAAAGCTTTTGGAATGAGTGGCTATTTACAATTCGTCTGCGATGATAGGTACTGCTTGGTAAGTCTCAAAGGCACAATTTTGCGAGTACGAAGAAAGCCTGTGAATAGTAGAATCAGTGCGAGCCTCTGCGAAGCAGAGGTGACGTACTGGTTTACCATATTCTGAAGCGTGTGATATCTGTTGGCGAGGGTGGTTCATTTTCCATCAGAAGTCGCTCGCTTCAGGCAACTTGGAATGATGTGAGAAACAAGTTATTCAGAGCGTATGTTTACCCTATCACTTTGTGACGGCCAGTGCGAGCCTTTGCGAACCAAAGATGAAGCACTGGTAATTGATACTTCTCCCAATGTGCAGGAGGAAATGATTCATAAAACAAGCACTGCAGCTCCTGCGAAGCAAAGGTGGCATACTCTTGGTGATGAGGTGGAAGCATGTTATCTGACTCTTATTAGGTGAGGATAAACACTGCCATAACCCGCAGACAAGCATAATTACCACCCAGCTGTCGAAAGATTCGAGATTCTACAAATCTTTGCGAAAGGATGCAGTTGCAGACAAATGCAAGGTAGCGAACATTATCCGACTCAGCAGCTTAGCGTATGGTGTTCGAACTACATTAGCATTTTCTGGCATGATGGACTTTCTTTTCACGCTTGGCTGCACTATTCCAACCTCAAATACAGAAGGGGGTACAGGCCCAGGATGCACAACCGATTGCAAATTTGATTGCCATGCAAGGTTTGGTGTCTTCAAGATTTCGGCGCTCTGCATGAGCGTTCAAGAATAATATATGTCCATGCACAACGAGTGACAATGACTTGCCAGGAGCTGGTAGATTCAGCACTCTGCGAAGGAGGAACATGCCGACCGCAGTGGAGACAACTACAGCGAGTGTGTGCTTGAGATAAAATGAACTACTATATTGCAGTCATTGAAGGTTGTTTTCTCTCTCCGCACTTGGTGATAAGCAAAAAGACTGATTAGGATGGTGTCGAATCTCTTACAATGTAGGTATGCTCCTTCCGGTTGCTAGTGCTTGCCAACTTTTGAGTTATTATTACTTTAGGATGAGCCGCACAAATCTCGTAAAAGTTTAACGTTTGGTCTCTCGCCAAGTGAAGTGGCTGCAGCATTTGCCTTCTAGAGCGATATTCAACAATCTCCTGTCCCTTCATGACCAGTTCACGCCTTACGCACGCGGGCGCTAGCCAAGATAAGACGTAGTTAAGCTGACGTTTAGCTGCCGACCGACTACCTGTCCTACCGGAGGCTCGTCTCCGCGTAGGACAGGTACGAGCCCTCTCCACTCCCTCTGCAACCTTGAAACAAAACCTCTAAACTTTCCTCCCGATTTCGCGCGGCATGATCCAAAAGTTCTAACAACTTTCGCTCGACCGTCAAAGACAACAATTCATCCGCGGAAGCTTGCTGGGGGAGCTGCCAAGCACGATCGAGAAGAATACATGAGAAATCAAACGAACTTGAAAACGAGGTTATCGAAAGTAAAGAGGCATATGGCGCACGTTGCGCGGCTTTATATACCCCTTGACTTGGCAAAGCGCCCAGCGAGGAGAGGTCCGGGCGCGAAAACAATAGCGCGCCCGATCCAGCGGCGTGCAGTGCTCCAGGCACCTGAATCGAGGAGAGGTTTGCATCGCGCGAACCGCGACAGTAACTCTGCAGGATTGGTCGCTTTCATAAATGGTGCTCACTTGTGAAAGTTTCGATCGTGAGCATATTTGCGAAGTGGTGCAGTTCTATCACTGTCCGCTCATGCTCATGTGCCATCTAACATACGTTACCTCTTTAGTCATTCACGTCGTTAACCGTTCGCTTTGCAAGCTTGGATAAGCTATCGGTGGCCAAATTTTTTCATGTGATCGGGTGCGAAAAGCTTCTCACCCGAGCCATATTCTCGTACCTCGATTTGCTATTAAATTAACACAATCTCCCCAGGATACCGCGACATGGCAAGCTCCGTCCCTTACCCAGCGTGCCTTGTACGCTGGAATCAGAATTTCGAGTTCCAGATTCGATGTTCCGAAGCGAGAAAGATCCATTCAAGAACAAGTAAGAGGGGATTTCGACGTTACTCTTTTCAGTAGTGAGATTTGTTCGGTGTAAAGGCGAGGTTCAGTAACAATGTCCAACTGAGACCAAATCTGGAGTTGTTTTTTCGAAGATACTTTTTCAAATTAAGACCAAGATGTTTTTTGTTTTTAGAACCGCTTTTTATAAAATGATAGAGGTTTGTGCAATATCATGACGTTACTTCACAGTTTTTGAAATAAAAAGTTCTTTTTTTTTTGCAAAACCCAAAGTTTTTATGAAAGAGTTTTGCTCAAATTTATAGTGAAGACTGGACCATAATGCTACAGTCAGGATTCGTCTAGTACCAATTCATGCCTTGAATAATTTTCTCAACGCTTCATTTTTGCTCCCAATACATGTGATGTGAAAGCAATTTGGGTATGTCAAAATCGATACATCAACACACAATGAACTCAATCGAACATATTTGCAAAATTTGAAACTTAATTTGTGGTGTTTTCTTATTCCTATCGCTTTAGTTGCGGTTCCCATTATTTTTTGAACGACTATTTCAAATTCAGTCGGGTGCTTAAGATGAAAACCCCCTTGAATTCGGATTCAACTTCAATTGCACAAATTATAAGGGCGTTTTTTTCCTGTCGTTTTACGCTATTCCAAGACTTCCAAGTATACTATGAAGTCCTTTGAAGGGCCAGCCTTTAAAGGCACCGTCCACCCAAAATGAAGGTTGGCGAGATTATGATGGCATACTAGTGTGGGCCTCCACACTAGGCAAACCCCCAAGCTTCATCGCAAAAGACTGCTTCTGAAATCCGCTCCAGAAGTAGCAAAGTAGGCGGGGCGACCAAGATCGCTCCGCCCACTTGCATGCTTTATCTCGCCTGCGCTTGTTGCGGAGGGTTCTCGAAACAGGGATTTTTGGGGGTTTCGTGGATTTTCGACTCCATATTCGAAATCATGGCTCTCAGAAGGCCTGAAGGCGACAAAAACATTGAATTCGAGATTTTGGGTGGACGGTGCCTTTAATGACCTCATGTTTTTATCAAACTAATGACTTATTTCTGCTAGCTTATCCCGACACAATCTTTCTATAGAAGATGATTAGACTGACTTGGGGCGACGTGATGTTATGTTTGTTCGAGTTGTGATTTATGCTTTACTAACCTTCTTTGTTATGGAACGCTTAGAGCGTATTCATAAATAAATAAATAAATAAAAATAAATAATTAAATACCTCCAAGCATTTCCCGGCTGGGAGACAAGATAGTACTTCAATGAGCAAAGTTCCTTTATCATTAATATCTGTTTCTGTAACGGATCTTCTCGTGGAGTTTGCTAGTGTACCATATCTTTTTATGCCTTACGCACCAGCAAACCTCTCGCTTTAGTTTACAAGAATGTCTTGTTTTCTTTTCTTTTCTGTTCTTTGGTACATTGAACTTCCGCCTCCGGGCTTGGCTCTGCTTACTACTAACGATGACGATGGGGATTTGCTATCACCCTCTACTTTGACGCATACTCATAAGAAGAATACCGTGAGTGCATAATGGCTAAGACTTCAGCAAAAAGTTTATTCAAAATACCAAAATACGATGACTGGCACAGTAACTGAAGCGATATCAATGCGTGCACGATGAAGACGGTTAGACAGCGGAGTTTTGGAATTTCCGCGTCTGTGACCCGTACACATGCAACGCATAGACACACCTCCATTGTGCAAAGAGTAAAGGCAAGAGAGAAAAACACATAGACAATTTGGTAGACCCATGCCATATAAGGAAAATATATGTTAAATTCTAGAAAGCATCTTAGAACTGAAAGGTCTGAACAACGAAAATGTGATAAGGAATGTGATTGACAACAACTGATAAACAAACCAGTGGCTGGTGAAAATGAATGAAGAATTGCAAATTGACAATGAAACAGTACAAGTATATTTGCTTAAAGCGCTAGGAAGACAGTGAGACTTCAAAGTATAGCCGGAGCGTGTTAAAGCGGTTTCTAAGAATTATTTTAAAAATAATAAATGTTGTAAGGCGTGCATAAAGTTAGTGAGCATAGAGTTTGTGGCAGTGTCTGTTTCTCTGCATCTAGCTACGCATTTGTGTGAACTTAAAGATTACAGTAATCAAGAGAGAAGTGATGGTTGATAATTATTAAATGGAATGCATTATTAGATCAAAAACCAGCAAAGCTCCGCCCCCAAGATAGGAGCACACTACTTTGCCACATGAGGATGCACAATGGCTGCTTTTGGGTGCCGCTACCTAGCTGATGTGCGCGACAGAGCAAACCATAGTACAAATTGACTATGTAAGTATAGCTATATACCAGTAATACCATAGAAAATCCCTAACCGCGGACATTTATGGCATGATGTGAAATTTATCGCGTTGCTTTTGGGCATAGCACAAGGAAACAGCGATGATAGAGCAGCAGAGGACGATCAAAGCTGCGAGTAGCCAGAATCCGACCACAGGTACGCAGATGGCCGGCGATGGAGGTGTTGGAGACGTTGTTGAGCGTAGTGCTTCTGGCAGTTCTGCGGCTGAAATTAGGAAGTTGAAATATAGTATTTTAGTCGACTTAGATATGCACATTAGAGAGGAGGGGTGAAGGGGTGTGGACCGATTTGCCTACCCGCAATCAAGAGAATTGGGCAACGCGGTTCGGAACGAACAGGCAATGCTGTCAGTGCAGCCGTACGATACAGTAGTTTTAACAGGCCATCTCCGTACAGGACCGCAGTCGTGCGCGAAACGTCCTGCAGTGGCCCTTATCAGGGGAAACATAGAGGGTAAAGCAAAAAATTGACGCGCGTACGACACCTTAAGACAATTCAAACAAAGCGCCCTATAGGGTATTGTAGTGCAAAACGGCCATCTCCCCGAAAATAAAGCAATTAAAAAAATATTACAAAACCATCTCGTACCTATATCTTTATCGATGATTGTCAACTCTGGCGATGTAATGTCCACATCAATAGCTTCAGCATCCCGGCGACGCATCTCTCGTTTCAGTTGTACCACATCATTTTCCACGGTCTCGCCCGGATGTGTAGGAATGTGACCTGCCCGGATGAGTGAGACAGGAGTTACTCGAGCAATCTCAACCCCTATAAACCAGATTTTTGTACAGGAAACAGAATTGATTAGGTTTTCTGATGTTACCTGATCCTTCTGTAACATCTCCATCTTCCAGTGACGCTATCATAGTATCACTAAAACCGGCATCTTTCATAAAGCTGCGCAGCGATGCGGGGGTTGGGAATTCCGTGGCGTTCAGGGTCGTGGCAAATGTCGTTGGTGCTGTAAAGTAAAATTGAACTTTTTTCATGAAGCTGTGTAGGTGACTTCCCACCGGCGGTAGTAGATGTCAACTCCGTTACGGTAGTATATACGGTAGTTGTTGTAGGGAATGTAGTTGTCGTTGCTGGAGCCTCAGTGCTAGTTGACGTTGTGAATGTGCTAGTGGTGGTAGTAGATGATGTAGATGTGCTAGTTGTCGTCGATTCCGTCGACGAGGTGATCAGCTGATCGTTATCGAGATCATGAGCCAGGGTTTCATCCTGGGACGGGAGTATACCACAGCGGGGCGGCTGAAGTAATCGATATATCGATTGGCCTGCATAAACAATGCGCCAGAGGAGGAGGTTACCGTAATGTCACTGCATCCATCGTCCAGTTTGTAGCATATTCTCACTTGACAGTTGAAGTAGACAGATTGTTGATCCGGAAAGTTGAAAGCGTTGGCAGCCTAAAATTGTAGGAATTGGCGTGCCGGGAGGGGAGGGGGGGGGGGTTGGGGGAGAGTTAATTGTCAACGATAACTTACAGTAAAGGACTTGGTGAGATCAGAAGAGTATGTAAGTTCGGGCATTAAAAATGTGTCAGTTGAGCATCTGAAATGACCTCAGATTAATTGTGAATTGGATATGGAATACACCACAACTGGCACCAATTTGAATAGAATTTGATTTCTCTGCATTATTATATCTTGAACGCAGTGGTTTCACTAATTATCAGCTTAATGTAACGAGTCCATTGTATGACGGATGTGAAGAATAGGTTGATTTCAATGGAATTAAGAAAAGATTTGAAACACTATTAGCCCTCTATAACGGACCTCCGTGACTTGTCAAATAATCACAAAAACCTATTCTGTCATCTGTTAGCCACTAGGGTAAAAAGTGGGTGCCCCTTCGGTAATGTACTGGGCATTTGTTGAGTACCTCATAGAACCTAGCCCGGAGAGTAAATCTAATCTACTGGACCAGGGTTCGGCACTAGCTGGCACAGGAAAATTTCAATACGAAGTCCCTTTGATCTTGAAAATTTTGTAAGAAGTCCCTTTGACCCTATTCCCCGTAAACGTTAGAAAATTTAAAAAAACAACGGAACATCGACTAAAAAGAGCATAAGTATAACAAAATGATTACAATCCGAACACAACCAGAAAACCATGAATTCTTCTGTCCAATTTACTCTACAACAAATACATTTATTAAAACTTTAAAGGCAGCGTCCGATCAAAATTTTGCCTACCATGTTTTTGCCATTCCGGAACCTTTCCGTAGCCCTGGTTACACTTATGAAGTTCAAGTAGTCCACTACCCCCAAAAAACCCGATTCCTAAGGATCCTGTCTTGAGGGCGCGGGCGGCTTACAGTGCATGGGTGGGCGGAGTCTGATAGGATCCGGGCGGGTCCTGATAGGACTTTGGCTGTTCCAGGCCTCTTATCTCCATTCAGAGACAACATTAGGAGACCGAACCAACGCAGATGCCTCTCGTGGAGCCTACATCAGGATCGCCTCTAATCAGAGGAGGGGGAGGGGGGGGGGATTTAGCCTGGACACTGCCTTTAAGAAATTGCCACATCTTTACAAAATTTTTGCACGACTTATGTTTCAGCAAACATTTCAAAAATGCCCTTGCTCAAGCCCCGACACTCTTCCTCACCATTGTCCATTCCCTTTGTCCTCAGTTTTTTTTCTTCTACATACACCTAATATTTAGCGTTAATGACTGTCTTGTGCAGCATGGTAGGCATCGTCCGGTCGGCGCTACGGATTATCACGCCTCATCGCTCGGCGCATCGTTACTAGCACTTCGGCGCTATTGCTTTTTACAGTAGCTTTTTTTTCAATGGGGGCGATATCGCTTCTGTCTGACTTTGAACAAATGGTGGCTATGGGTAGATGCTAAGGATTTTATGAGGCAGAAGCAATAAAAATACCAGTGAAAGCAGTTTCTAGTTCCGTACGGGCAAAGGTTTTTTTGGAGAGTAAAAAAGGCTTCACTAAACAGCTATATAGGATCTGTAACAAAGAAAACCCTTTAAGCTACAGTATCCTTATTTTTTCCATCAATAAAAAATAATTCTAGAGCATGTTGCACTCGAACAAAGATACTTGCTACTACATGCTTCTTGACTGGTCCAAAATCAATCAATAATCGATCGAAAACTCACCCTATTGAGTCGATTACTGTGTGATTGTTTCCTTGTCCATCGACAATTGAGCAATCGTGGATCATCATACCATAAACTTCCGATGGACAATCCCAAACATGGTAGATCAAATCACCTACTTGAGCGAGTTTTACCAAGGGACCATTGGGAGACTCCTGAATAATACAGGGTAGAAAATGGCAAATATAACCCAAGAGAATTCTAATTTACCTTGTGTAATGTGTATTTACATGTGGGTCTTTCACTTTCTCCACTAACGACAGATGTTGTGAGTTCACTGAAATTTAGCAAAATCTTTGAATTCTTGCCCCACACAAATTTTAAACAATCGATTTTGTGCGCATTGTGGACGAGTTTACACTTCCGGCTTCTGCGTGCGTACAATAGAAGCTAGCAGCAAAATTAAAGGATGAACAGGACAAATTAGCATGCTTCGCAGCGTTTACGAAGAAATTTTGAGGTATCCGCAACTAACTAACCTATCCCTTTCTCACCCTTTCCCCAACAAAGCAAATGAACCTAGCAATAGAATTTTGTGTCAGATACATCTCCATTTAGGTGTGTTACTTACTTGACCTCGTTCCCTTACAAGGTACATGTGAGTAGACACCGCCACCGTAATTACTGCTGAGTAATCGGAAGACACGCACTCACACAACAGTGCAGTGCGTTCGAGTGTGTAGTTGGCGCCAAATTACTGGGAAGGAAAATTTGCTCCGTCTTGGGAGTTTTTTGCTCTACACGGGACCTACTGACTTACTCTAGAATCTTCGTAACGAAAAACACAATTCCTCGTTGAAAAAGGCAGGAGAGTGGGTAGTGTGATACTTATAACTGGACAATATGTTCGGTGTTCTATTGCTGCCTGCATTTTCAATAATATCAATTTTCGATAGTTTATTTTTTGGAATTTTTGCTTGCTTACCAACGCTTATAAAGTGGTGTCATACCTGAGCAGCGCTAGTCCCAGGAGGTCATTTTCTTATTCATTTCTGAGTTTTGCTCTCTACTACCATTAAGGAGGATGGAATTTTTGGTATGAATTGAAAAAGTTAATATGGAAGTCTTGCGAAAACCTGCTGCAGATATCATTGAGATGTTATAGTGGTAAATTTGATTTTAGTGCAACCAAATGCCAAACTTACTAAAACTAGCCCTAAAAACTAGTTTATTTACTAGAGAAATTTGTTGTACTATGATTGGAGAGAGCAGAGGAAGAAAACTTTGACCAGGCCTTCCACAAGGATGCTTTTCAAACTTTGAGTGTGCTTCTGACCCCAAAATTTTAGAACAAAGCAGCCGGCAGCCCCCTTTCCATATGTTTTCTACAGGGCCTCAGATTGATTCCATAATTAGAAATCTTAATCAGTCACTTCCAACCTAACTGTGACCGATGAAAAGTCTATATTGAATTTTCTATTCCGCATATTTTCTATTCATATGAAAGTTTCTTCCCATTTGTGGCAATGACCGATTGGAGATCTCCTACACATCCCTTAAACATAAATAGAATCGCAAATGCCTTAAAAACAAGATTTTATAAGCAGTTTCAACAAGGTGGTACCTAAATTCAATTTGCTTCCTGAAACTTGTCTTTCTGAAACAGCTAAGAATTTTGCCCGTGAAAAATTTCCTCCCTATTCCTTGCGACAAATCACGCTATGATTAAAAAGCCGTTTTCTTTAATCGCGTGCGAATTATACTGAAACATCAACACAACGTCGTTTGGGTCCTGGCAAATGCTGTGTTTTTGTCTAATTTAGCTAACTTATTAGCGTTGAGCCCTATTCTTTCGTCTGGTACGTTATTGGTAAGTGAAAATTCTTACATGAGCCTTAGATCACCCTACTCATCTAAGAATCTATGGAGGTCTTTGAGTTTTCTCTACAAGCGAATCTTGCCAGATAGGATTAGGAATGTCAGAAATCGATTAGAGTAGTTAGCACAGCGTTTATGGGAAGACTTTGTATTCCCCTCATCCCACATTCAAACTGCAATAATTTGCGAACAGAGCACTTGAGAGAGTTTGCTGCGATGGCATGTCCTTTCTGAGGAGACGGCGCTGCCCTCTTGACTTTCAACCGTGTTCTCGAAGTGGCCGAGAACGCATTCAGAGTGTGGCGCGCCTCATGTGGCGGTCAGGTGCACGGCTCTGCTCCGTGCACGTCCATGCGTGCACGGCGAGGTCAAGGTGGAACGGCCAGCACTCGCTCGCCTTCTCGTCTCCACAATAAAGACCCTTGAACGCGTTGTCTGGCTGCTTCTGAATAGCGCGCTCACGTAACAAATCCGCTCCGAACATGCGCGTTATTAGATTCACCGCTTACGCTAACGCTAACGCGCACGCGCGCCCTCTCGCGCGCGCAAGTGCGTGCAATATCTGCTGTACATTAATGCGTATGGCCACTTATGGAACAAATATCGACTGGAACGCGAACAAAAATATTAATGTTGCTTACTTAACGCCAATCTGGGCTCCGACCGCTTTCTCGGCTTCCATATAGAAGCAGCGAACGTGAAAAGCTCGATCCACCTTTGTGATGAATAAAGGATGCAATTGCACAACAACTGTCATAGTGAAAGCCATCCCTCGAGGATTGACCTGCAAATAAAAGTATAATTGAGAAATTCCAGGAAGTTCACAATAGATGAAGTGGGCGTGACCATTTCTCATATTTTCCTTGCACATCAACTTATGTAGGCCACCTTCAATTTTGCCTAGCTCTCTCAGTCCACCACTAATATCAAAAATTTTTTTCCAAATTTTCAACCTGGAACGTGGCGAATTGCAGCTTTCGTCACTTTTTCATATCTTTGCTCTAAAAACTGCACTTGAATTAAAAATTACCGTTTCAAATGCTGTTTATACAGTTTCGTGGCGGGAGCATTCGGTCTAGACCACTTACGAGGGATAAAGAGAACAATTCATGTTAGGCTGATGGAGGGTATTTCTCTTGGAGTAATTTTGCGAATGTTGAATGAAAAAAATTGAAAATTGGGAGGGAGTTGGGGAGCGGAGCGAAAAAAAGAGTAATACGTATTTCTAGTTTCATCTTCCAAGAAAAATAAGAGAAGATATATTTTTGGGGCTTCCGTATTTTCGATCATCTTCTACATCTTCTTTACCCACTTTCTTTTCAATTTATTACGAGAAGGAAGGGGGGGGGGAGCTATACAGAAGCAACCATTCTTGCCAGTGAAACCATCTTGTCTTCCCGTTTCCACTATCCACTTTCCCTATCCAAATTACCTTCAACATTGTTTTCATAGGTATCCTACCCAAAGGCATCTATCCAAAAACTGGAATCATTAGCACTAGCGACTGTGACCTTCGTCACTTTCCCGACATTCATCTCACTATTTAGCGGAAACTGGGTAAGTCGAGCCGATGATGACGCGTGAAAAGCTCAAGAAAAGCTAGTCCGTTGGCCTCTAAGCTGAAGAAAATGAAGTGTTTATGTATTTTTTTATTGCAGAAGAAAAAACAACAAGGCATGCCTTGAGACTTAAAACTGCGCTATATTCGTCTGGCATTGAATTAAAAAGCACTTTTGCAGAGACTCGATTGTAATGGCAAGACTAGTAGAGTTGGCGATGAGCTGCTTGACCCGGTTAAAGTTAGTCAGGGGTTGCACAAGATGTACTTATGACTGAGTCAGGTAATTTTTGTTGTAAATGGTGTGAGGTAAATTTTTATGTCATGCTAGACTCGAATTTGGTACAAAATTGCTGAGCTTACATTTCATCAAATTGCGGACAAAAACTACGATAATATTCTGTAAAGAAAGAGTAAAAAAGTTTTCGGGCAGTTCTGAAATACTGACGTCTTTTCCCATGGACCGAATCTGATGATAGATTTTTGCGAAATTTTTAAATGAGCACTACTCTACTTTTTAATGCCATTTTTGATTTTAATGGCTGTCAAATATTTGAGTTATGTACTAAAAAGGGCGTCTTTTAGAACCTAAAAAAAATTTAGCAAATTTCCACAAATGCACGTAAAATTTCTTTACGGCACAATAACTGAGAATTAACAATCACTTATAGTTCCAAAAGCTTCTCGCAAAATCAATGAAAAAAGAATGAGGTTCAGACTGGCTCGGAGCTAGTTTTTTTATAAAGATGAAAATAACTAAGCCGTGGAAAATCACCAGGTCAAACTGCAAATTTTTCTGCCTAATTATAAGTCAAAAGCACTCAAAAATTTTAGCAGAAGTGTAAAGCTCGCGTTTGCTTATTTATGAAACTCTGATATCATTTGAGCTTTTCAAAAGTTCTTACATATAAATTTTTCTTCGCAATTTTCCTGAATTTTTTGAAAGTTCTTCTTCCCTTTATCCTCTATTTTCTCTTCTCGCTCATCCAAAACAATCTAAGCTTCCCAATTACGTCTGACTCAGTGTCGATCCTCTGTCACATCAAGGCCAACACTGCCATAATTCCCATTGTCAACGCCCCACCCAATTTTGCTGCCTCTCGTTCTCCGTTCGCCTTCCTCACTCGCTATGGTCACTCTTCACATTCAAGAGTGACGATGTAAAGGCGTCGTGTTGACTGGCAAGGTCGACAAGTTGCCGAGAGAGATTTCCAAATTCTCTAAAATGTGGCTCTATAGCCAATTTTCGCGCAAGAATTAGCCTCATGTAGGGAAAAGGAGATTGATAGTCGCGCCCTTTTTTGCATAACTGGAAAAGTGCTTCGAAAAATCAGGGTTTCTCCCTAGAAAGACTTTGCATATACATTTTTTCAGCACTGGCTACGTCGTCAAAATAACGACGCCAACTCAGAGATGAAGCCGGTGATTGGTCAGATATTTTGGCCACCCCCATTGCTTATCTATGATTGGTCAAAATAACGAACCTCTCGCTTTCGACTGACATCACATTTCTCAAAGTCGAAAATCACATGCGTAGTATTCCTAAACGAGCACTCTGGCTTATTGAAATGGCCCTTGGCGAAGACATGTGATGGCGGTTCTTTCGTCGTGTTCACCCCCACGGTCAGTCGTCCATGTCCGCACTCTATGGATGGTTTTTCTGGAAAAGAAGTGATAAGTTGGGAAAATAGGCCCTTGCCCTTTGGGATTTTCAAGGGCTTTAGCCAAGCGACCATTGACATCAATTCGCGCTTGCGGCTCAAGCGCTGCCGATGTTTCACAACCTATCATAAACTGATCAAAAACCGCGCGTGTCTCGTGCCAGGATCGGCAGGCGGCACTGCTATTGACCTCTGTGGCAGAGAAAAGTACAGCCAGACGTCTAGATTGATCGTGAGCTTTTCTTCTGTAATGTGTTAGACTCGAAAAAGTTTCATGCCATCATTCAGGAGAAACGCTGCTCGGCAAAAATGTGGCGAGGTCGCCGCGCTCGCGACGCGCTTGACCAGCGCAGCGCGCCTGCTCGGCAGCAGTTTAGCCGCAGCTGCACAGCTGCTGCTACCGTTGTGGCGCGCATGGCAGAAATTAGGAACGAGCTCGATGGCCCGCAAAGTGCAAGGTCGCGACACTTGAGCAGGCACAGAGGCTCGCGCAAAAAAAGACTACTTTTCGAAAATCGCCGCATGGCGTGCGAGCCACACGAGAAGTCAACAAGCCGTAGTTCTTACCCGTTAGAGCGTTGTCGAATTCAATTTCGGCCGACGATAGGGTCATCAGAAGCGCCGAGATTGCCGTCGACGCTAACCGCAACAGCATTTTCTAGTTTTTGCCTGAAAATTGGAAGTGTTCCGTACAAGTCCGTGTTCTCAAGTAGAAAATTTGCGACCGGACGAGATCACTAATTTGAGCGAAACAGTTGGAAAGGAAGAAAGAGGAAAGGAATTGAGAAAGGATATAGTAGGGTGATACTCACAAGAATGTTTTGTTGTGCCTATCAATTTGCCTATAAAAGACAGCATTGCATATAAGACAATATCCGATGCATCCATAAATCACAATAAATAAACTCGATGCATTTACATTTACTTGCATTTTATTTCGGTTCAAAATTTTTACAAGGTACCAATGACCTAAAAATGTACAAAAAGCTTCAGTCAATTGCGGAAACTTCTGTAGAAAGTGCAGCACAGAAGTTCTGCATCAAGCAGTAAAACTGAGGTCCAATATCCGATTCTAAACTAAGAGCATCGAAGCTAGCGAGCTACAGTAAAACCGTCAGAAATGAGACTCTAAAAAATCAGCGACACAGTGGCTGGCTCCTCCTTGTCTTTGTGAAAGTCTAAAGAATAACCACTTAAGGAATTTCAATGGTTTTTAGCTACAGTCAAGCCTAAGGTGGAAAATATACAGCCGAAGAGCCGCAAGTTTACAGAAGTTCGGATGTCCTTTAGAAAAAAAGGAGAAAAAGCACTTGGTTCCTGAATATCACCGATATGATTGGACGATGAATTCTACTCGATTGCTACCGTCCCTACTCATTCAACTTTAGACTGTTCCTTTTCTTTCAGTCCATTACATGTCTTTTACACATGAGAAAAAAGTTTTGAACACGTTTTCTCCGAAAAATTATGGAAAAATCGTTTGACAGAGTGTGTGAAAATTGACACAATGAACTTTGTGCAAGGCATTAAAGATTTGGAAGCAGCTGTTATGTTTATTAAACCAAACTTTAAGATTCTAAAGCTTCAAAATGAAAAATAATCGTTTTGCATCAGTTGGAGATGTCGAGATATGGAAGTTTGGCTTATCTCCTTCACTGATGGAAGTATGAAGAAACATCCAAGCACATCATGACTAAGGGATTTTACCAGCTCCTTTGTTTGACAAATATTTTTGTCTATGCAATACATCTTCCTTATTATTCCTCCTTCTCCCCTGCTCCCCAGCCTCCAAGTAAGCGCTTAATAACTAGTTTAGAAAGCTTTTGTAAAACCATTGCAATGTCCAAAGTATTGCTTTCACTAAAGTGGTTGTCCCGAAACTTAGAAAAATTTCTGCCCTTATCTGATTTTGGCTAAGACCGACTTTGCCCAAGTTCGACGAACGGCAAAGCAAACAATAGGCGAGTGACCCCATGAAACTTTCGAAGTGCAGAAAGGCAATCAAAGTAATTCGTAGAATTGCCATAGATGGTCAGCATTACTGGCGCCGTAAAGTCTTTTTGTTCGAGAAAGATTAATTTCGGAAATAGATTTCTTACAACGCTTATTCTAAACAAGTATTTGGAAGAGGAGGGATTGATCATCTTGAGCGATTAGACAATTGAATATCAATTTATTAAATTAAAATACAAATGGCGAAATAGAGATTATTTCCAACCGAGGATTCTTTGCGCAGAACTTATCCAGTCTAATCTCAAATCTGCAACTGAAATGAAGTTCCTACTGTTGTCTTTTGATGTAATGAATTGAAAAGAGTAAAAAATTCACAAAATGAAAGTAGTCATTGATAGCATACTTGTAGGAAAGGCTCACTTGAGGTTTTAAAGATTAGATGGAAAAAAACGCTTAAAAATAAATCAGAAAAGGCTTTAGCCATTCTCCTATTGAGAAGACAAGAAACTCTGTAAATTATGAAGATGAGGAGGGCTAAAGAGAATGAGGGCGAGAGCGTATAATGGGACTGAAGAAGGATAAGAGATTCTTGTCGAGCGCATTTTTCCATTTTTCCTTGAGGTACTAAAGCTATAAAAGTGAACATGCTTTTCTAAGTGTTTTCTGTGAAATTTTCGAAACGAGTATGCTACGCCTTATACAATGGTTCGATGGACTCTGAAAAAGTATGTAATGCCCCGTAAAACTCGAGTTTTTATAGAGGTGAGTGTTAGACTAATATAGAATCCTGGTTAGTTTCTTTTCATAGTGAGGAACAAAAAACCTAAACTTATCGCTTTGAGATGGTCGTTTCTCAAAAAATATAATTGAAATTTGAATTTTTTTATTTGTTAAATTATAAATGCAAAAATTGCACAAACTACATAATTCGAATTTGGTCTTAAAAATCTATTTTCGCTTGATCAACAATATTGCCAAGGCTTTCCACCACTATATCGTAAAAAGAGCTAAATATTTGTTTTCATTTTTCTCTATAGCACAATCTAGATCCAAAAAAGTTTTCTACTTACTCACACAAATTTCTGGAACCTCACTTTTCAAAAAAATTCATGTACATAATTTTCACTCCTAAACATATTTACTTCTCAGTATTGAAAATAAGTTCTACAGACCTTCCTTCCTTACTGAGGAGGTCCGGGAAGATCTGTAAATATTTTTATTCCCTCTAAGGGCAGGAACGAAACGGAATCTCTTGGTTATTTACAACTGTGGATTGAAACTTTTTTTCTTATTATTTAGTGCAGTAAAAAATTAATTAAGGGTGGATAAATATTTGAAATGTTCCTTAATGAAAAAAGGTGGCTGCTTCTTACGAGTTCCTACAACTATGAATTATATGCTTAAAATCCCTATTTCCCAAAGCTTTTTTTAAAAATACCCAAATCAAAGGAATTATATGTTCCATATAAAGCCTACAGCATGCCCCAGTGCCTAACCTCTTGTTTGCACGGCGCAATCGAAACCAAGGTCTCTGACCACAACAAAGTGAGCATAATCTTAGGATTGACGAGCCCCAACACCGTCTACCCCCTTGTCTTCTTGTCGTTTGCCTCACTTGCTCAGTCTCATTCCTCACTCTCCATAATGACACACACGCTGGTCAACCTTGGCGCGCTTTGGCGATAGCGCGTCTTCCGCGATTTTTTACGCTTCACGCGCCTCATTCCGCACACATTTTCATGCGCGGAACTATTCACCTTAATCTGCACTGGCTCAGGCTAGGTTTGGGTTAGCCACGACTAACCACGGTTACAGGGTCAGAATTAACCAAAGATCGATCTACCCAACCTTAAGTTCAACAGACCAGTTCCGGTGGTTTATTTTTTCCCCACCTGCGCAGATTTTTTCTACCCACCACTCATTGCTAATTTTAAGTGAAGTACATCAAAGAAACGGAAGAAAAACCCTCTTTGGCACACTATGTGTCTTAACAACTGGAGCGTGACTATAAACGAGTTAGAAGATCTCACTTTTGAAAGGAACAATCTTGGACTTGTTGCGGAGGGATAGGAAGGGGAACAGGATTCCAATCAAACACTATAATCTGTTTTACTTTGGAAATGCCTTAGGTGTTCCATGGCGAAATTCACTATCTTGCTGCTATGTATGGAATGTTATTTCCTCGGGAACGAGAACTGGTCTTTTGGAGATTTTGGAGTGAACATTGTTGTTACTGAAAGACCAAAATAGAAATATTCACCCCATAATCAACCATAATTTAAAACTAGCTTGATTAGGCCCAAGATAAATAATAAACAATTTGTAATGATCCAGTAAAGCGAGATTATTGACTTTTGTTAGCAGCCTCAGTTTCACCATAAGAATAACCATATAAATTGCGATAAAATAGATTCCATTTCTGATTAAGGTTTTAATCGATGAGAATTTATGAACATTAGGTTCCTTGGGACCATGATCTAAACCACATGAAGAAGAATCTGTAAATACAAAAAATTCTCAAGTAAATATTAAATAAATAAATATTAAATATTAAATATTCGAAGTTTCACACAAACTCAAGATGATCTGCTAAACTTTGTCCTAGAACATGGCGATTCGCAATCACCGGACGAGTAAATAAAATTCAGAGTTACTACAGCCTTGTTCGGATGTCAAACACTCAAATTTATCATTAGGGATACAAAGGAAAATTTCTGTGCCGAAGGAAAAACAGACCCAAATCGGTAGCCTACCAAAGTAAGAGAAGCATTGGCTAAATATATATTCACATCGGTCAAGGTAAATGGCCCTAGTCATCAAGTTTCTCATATAGTTACAAGATGACAAAGCAACTAGGTTAAGGTTAACTCTACCAACTTTATGCCTACGAGGTCATCGTGTCTAAATGTTAGCTAATCAGCCAAACTTAACGTGTATGCGGTCAGAGGACAAATATGAAACATTACCAGTATGGGTCATGGACATACTATTTGGGAAATGGGGTTTACCTATAACGCAGCTAAAAATCATTAGGCTGGCTGGAAAGTTATTTCGTTTTGGCATGAAAACCTTCATAAAAACTTCCTTACTGTTCTTTATTTAAGGTATTTTGTGGATAAGTAGTTCAAAGCTTCTTCTATCAGTATCAACTATTCAGAATTTCAAAGTATCAGTGAGAGAGGGGCAGCCATGCCTCAACATGGCTAAAATTTTATAAGCTAATACGAAGAAAAAAAGAACCCAAAAATGAGAGTTCAAAGACGCAAACCATTAGTCTTGGTCTAATGTTAGATCGAGTGGTGTTACTTTATAATAATCTTTACAATCTATAAGAATTCAACCCTATATGGGGAGAGGGGAGGAAGAAGGTTGCGTGATCTAATGGGATACATCAGAAGGTTTGACTCAAGGATACTGTTGCTCAGATCATTGTGAATACCTATTTAGAAAATTTAAGAGGAACTTGGAAGAGGAATTACAGAGTTCTAAAACTTCTACCAAATCAGGTAAAATATGGCTATAGTAGTTGGATGGATTTACTCAGTAGATTTCCGGCCTAAAATATTTTTTCCAGGCACCGATACCCCACCATAATCACATCGAACCAAAGAATGCGCAAAAAGGAGATTAGACCAGAAGGGAATCGATGGAAAAAGAATTTCAGCTTGGTATCAACACTGTCTCAAACTCAATGACCAACTG